TGTTATAAGGATTGCTCATCTATTCTTAGTATGGAGGAGGGGAAAATTTATGCCACCTGTACAAAGTGGAAACCTTCATGCATCTGTTGACTCTCAATTGCCTTCAGCTCAAACTAATCCTTAACCTAGAATGGCTAATTTAGAGAATAGCCTGTTCCAGAATGCTTCATTCCAGACATCATGAAATTATGTCAGCTGCAGGAAAATGGAGGGTTCTAGAGACTTTCATGTCCAGCTACATAAGCCAAACTCAAAAAGCCAAATATTGAATCGTCTTGCTAATTTGTGGAGTTCAGACAGACCTTAAATTCTGAGGGTGGCGGTGGTGGTGGTGGTGGTGGTGGTGGTAGTGATGGTGATGGTGATGCTGATTATGATGAAGATGAAGATAGTTGCCCTGAGTTATGAGCCCAAAAAGGGGTTGTCTGTATTCAGGGATCAGCAGGAAAGAAAAGGCTGAAAAGTGGAGAATGCGGAAAGGTGAGGAAGATTGAAGATTGTTGGGAGGGGGGATGTGGGTGCAGGTGTGAGTGTATGAAACCCACTAAGCATGTTTAAACCCACCAAAGGTTGTTTTTGAAAAGTGGTGGGAAGGGAAGCGAGGGGCAAAAAATAAATATGGTGGATGAGGTAAATTTGTTCAAAGTGTACTCTGTGCATGTATGGAAATAATCACAATAAAATTCTTCACATTAAAATACCTGCTAACTCAATAAAATTAAAGAGTAAATAATCAAATAGAATCACATACCTAAGGAAAGGAAAATTATCAGCCTTTCTGGGTTCCCTAACATGTAGCAGTAGGACGGTCTCCAACTTGCCCCACCTTTGTCAAACACTGAGGGGCTAAGATTAGGTCTGTATCTCTAAGAATTGGCCAAAGGCACTTGGCATAAAAAGAAAGAAACAAACAAAAAACAAAACCCAAAAACTTCAGTGGGAAAACTGGTCTGGTGTGGCCCTCCAGAGTCTCCAGTGCAGAGAGACTGTGTCTCCTTAGAGTTCTAGGGACTATTCCATTGTAATTGTATTGGTTTGGGCCCCAGGCCTAATCATTTTGTGAGGTTGTCATCCATCTTTACTAAACCCAGTGGCGGTAATGCTAGGAAGAAAAATGAAATGAAATTTCAAGTATCCCAGAGTGGCCAAAAGAGAATGTGCAGAATTTTAATACACAGCAGAAACGTTATGCAATCACAAGGGGAGGTGACTCATGTATCACATTCCTGTTGAAAACAGAAGAGATCTGTTCTGTTTTATTTTTATTTTCCTTTTTATGAGTGATACATGCATGCTTTAGAGACCTTTGGATCTGGGTCTTAGACAATTTTCTTGTGTTGTCTATAGTTAATTGATCTTTCTCTTTAAAGCAAGGTGTTTCTTTGTCCCTTGATTCTTCTATCCAGTCACTAGTTATCTGTCTTCCTATCTGGTAACTAAATCTCACTCTAAAAATCAAACTATAAAAACAGGAAAGGACAACCAAAAACCAAGTTCTCGAGTTTGTTCAAATCATCTCAAGCTGAATTATGCACTCCAGGGAGTTTAATTATTCTAAATCAAAGTCATCTGTAAGATGGGCAGGAAGGGTTTATTTAAGTAGCTCTGCTTCCTTCTTCCTTGGACTCCAGAATTCTAAGGACCCTTTCAGCTTGAAAGTGGATGTGGCATTGGGTCTGATTCAGTGGACAGTTGGTAAATGCCAAGTGTTCTGAGAAGATTTGAAAACTGTTGAAATTCTTCTGCACAACTTCATCCAAAGTGTCCTTTAACAGTCAGATCACAGTGTTATGAAAGCTTGAAAGTTTGGGAATAACTTAAAAACCACCTATTTGTCTGGCATCTAGTGAGGTTTAAGGTGGCCAGCTAACAGTGAACAACCAGTTCAATATAAATTTTTAATAAGCAGCAAATCAGTTGTTAATATATAATGTTACGTGGGATACAACTAAATTTAAATTATTTGCTCTTCTTACTTGAAATTCAAATTTAACTAGCTATCTTCTATTTTGCACCTGTTAAAAGTGATAACTGTCTTATCACGTCCCCTTTTTGGATAGAGGTTTTAAAACAATCATTCAATGTACCATTGTTCACTTTTGAAAACAACATGCAAATTTCAGCAAAAATGTATTACTTGATCAAAAACGTGTCAAGTACATATTTATTTGTTAAATAAAATTATGGAACTTTTACTCATTATTAGCTTATGATAGTAATTTCTCTTAAAAGTTTATTCCTAGTTGGGTGCTGGTGGCTCACACCTATAATTCAGGAAGCTAGGTATTCAGGAAGTTGAGATCTTAGGATTTCAGTTCAAGCTCAGAGTAGGCATACAAATGAAGAGCCTCTTATCTCTAGCAAACAGGCAGAAGCACTGGTGTGGCTAAAAATGCACACTATCAGCCTTGAGTTCAAGCCCTAATAGCAACACCAAAAATAAATAAAAGTTTATTTTTACTAGGAGACTGGTGGGTCATACCTATAATTCTAGCTACTCAAGAGGTTGAAATTTGGAGGTTCATATTCAAAGCCAGCCTGGTAGAAAAGTCTAGGAAACTTCTCTAATTACTCACTAAAATGCTAAACTGAAGGCATAACTCAATTGCTCAGAAGCACCAATTGAACAAATATGACAACATAAAATAAAAATGCCTTATCAATTATTATTGTTTAAAATTTTACTTATTTTGAGCCAGCTGGAAAATAAATAAAAAAATTCCTTTTGTCTTAAATCTACTAAAAGTGTGCAGAATTCAGACTTTCTATCTTTCAAATCAGGCAAATAAATAGACAGTCTGGTACTGAGTGTTTCTCTTAGAGAAATCTACCTTTGTTGGATCGTGTGATTTCAGATTAGCTTCAGTGGGCTGTTTTCTTGGATGTGGCTTCAGTTTTGAAGTGAATTTGCAACTACTTGATTTAACTACTCCAAGAGCCTTCAGGAAAAAAGCAATCCATGAGAGACAACAATCATTCTTCATTGGCAGGCTGTGCATACACAGAAATGTGTTAGTTGTTCATGGCCTGTGGGCCTTGCAGGGTTGATTGAAATACTGTTTTCTGAAAATTGGGTTGTCATATACCAACCAGAAAGCAAGGTTCAGAAGTTGGGGGTGGGGATAAACATTTTGGTGGTGTTTTGCTGTGCTTTTGTGGCTGTTTTCAAAGAAATGACATTTTTATTGCCTGTCAATATTGAATATGCTTTTGAAGTATCTTGTCGATGTTAATCAGTTACACTGTGTCCTTTAATAGATGCTTACCATATCTTTGTGCTTCATTTTTTTAATCACAATTTATTTCTTTCTGTAAAATTGTGGTAACAAAATAGAGAAAAATAACTTTATAGAAATAACCAAATTTATTAATAAAATGATGCAAAAATATTTCTTTTTTTTTTTTTTTTGTTGGTCATGGGACTTGAACTCTGGGCCTGGGCGCTGTCCCTCAGCTCTTCAGCTCAAGGCAAGCGCTCTACCACTTGAGCTACAGTGCCACTTCCGGTTTTCTGGTGGTTTATTGGAGATAGGAGTTTCACAGTCTCTCCTGCCCGGGCTGGCTTTGAACCGCGATCCTCAGATCTCAGCCTCCTGAGTAGCTAGGATTACAGGCGTGAGCCGCCAGCGCCCTGCTGCAAAAATATTTCTAATATAAAAAACTAATAATGAATTTTATTTTAAGGTGTTAGTTATTAATGGTGAAAATGAAAAAAAGTTAAAGAAAAGAAAACCTTCTGGATGCCAATGGCTTACGCCTGTAATCCTAGCTACTCAGAAGGGTGAGATCTGTGGATTGCAGTTTGGAGCCAGCCCAGGCAGAAAAGTCTGAGATTCTTGTCTCCACTTAGCCCAAAGAGGAGCTATTTCACTAGCCTTCAGCACAAAAAGCTCAGGAACAGTGTTCAGGCCATGACTTCAAGCTCCAGGATAACAAAAAGGGAGGAAGGAAGGAAAGAAAGGAAGGAAGGAAGGAAGGAAGGAAGGAAGGAAGGAAGGAAGGAAGGAAGGAAGCAAGGAAGGAAGGAAGCAAGGAAGGAAGGAAGGAAGGAGAAAATCTATTTTAGCTGTACTGGAAACATCTATAAGGCATACAAGAAAAGTTATTATAGGAAATCAAAGTCCAAAAAGGTCTTCCAAGTTGTGTTAGACAGCTCTTTGTTACTATAACAAACACCTAAGACAATCAACATAAGGAGAGAAGTTATATGACATGGTTGCAGAGATGCACTATCAATTGGCAGTTGCTTTGAGGCTTGAGAGATAGCATACCATGGGGGAGCATCTTGTTAAAGGGAAGGTAGATTATGGTAGATAGATGACAACCAGGCTCATGTTAGATGTGAATCATGGTCCAAATATTGCCAGAATTTGATATTTGCATTTATCTTTGTCTTGATTTTTTGTTTATGAAATGACATATATTAAGGAAAGTATACTGAATGTCTTAGAAAATACAATGATATAAAGTTGACCTTGCTTTTCTCCTTTGACCCAGGGAAGAAATTATCTCATTTGTAGTGTGGAGAAAGGTTTCTCTCTCTTTTTTGGTACAGCTACTAGGGCTTAAACTCTGGACATGGGCACTGTCCCTTAGCATTTTGCTCAAAGCTAGTGCTTTACCACTTGAGCCACAGCTACACTTCTGGCATCTTGCTGGATGGCAATTAGAATCTCATGGGCTTCTCTGACAAGGCTGACTACAAACTGCAATGCTCAGATTTCAGCCTTTCCTAAGTAGCTAGGATTATAGGCATGAGCCACTAGTGTCTGGTTCTATAAGATCTCTTCTTTTAACAATAGGAACTAACTTGGGCACCTGTTATCTTTGCCTTTCTGAAGAAGGAATGGGATGAGGGGTATCAGTAGCTATTGACATCAGTTAGAATTAGGCTCCTTTGACATGGGTGCAGTCCACTCTGTGGATCCCAGAGCAAAAGATGATCCGGGTAATAGCTGTACAAGGACAGCTAGCTGACCATGATTGCTATTTCCTTGCAGGTGGACTTGGGACTCCTGCGCTTTGTCACTGCTGTAGGGACACAGGGTGCCATTTCTAAGGAAACTAAGAAGAAATACTATGTCAAGACTTACAAAATAGATATCAGCTCCAACGGAGAAGACTGGATCACCATAAAGGAAGGAAATAAGCCTGTAGTAAGTATGCTGGCCACTCCCCCACCCTCAACCAATTCAGGCTTTTAAATGGATAATCAATTTTTAGTTGTTTGTTTGGGAGCTTTCTGTCTGGTTGGTTTATTTTTGAATTGATTTTAAATGAAAAGTGCAATTAGAGGTTTAAATATAACCAAAAGGTCTCATGTTCACAGACCCAGAAACCAAGAGGAAATTATATAGATATTTCCAAGGAAAGTCAATGCAGTGAAATTAAGTGACCCATTCAGGAATTGCTTTAAACCTCCTGTGGGGACATTGATGGTGTCCTCTTAGCAGCCTGGGAGTTTTGGTTGAGGGGTTTGGTTTCCCTCCCCCATTCCAGTGTCTCTTCATTCTTGTTGGTAGATTTCATTTTTCTTCTACTCTGGCTGGTTTTAGACAATGCCCTTCTTCCATTGATCCCAGTGGCTGGGATTTACAAGTGCATGTAGCTGCTTCTGATAAGCATTGATAGAACTAAAGGTATTTTGCTGAGTTCTTTCAGATCACACAAAAAATATACTCTCCTGCCAGCTTCCAGTGATGGTGGTAACCCAGACCAGGCCATGTCTCTAGGCTCTGCCCTCAGTCAATTGAAACTGGGTTTTTGTTTTTGTTTTCTCAGCCTGACTGCTTTGATTTACTAATCAAAAGATTTGTGAGAATCCATGCCCACTGTTTGCTCCAAATCAAAAATATTTCCTAGAGGCCAGTAGAGTAGCACACAAAACATTGGTAAGATTTAGTAGCAAAGTTCCAGGTACCTGGAAGGCTTGGACTTGGAAAGGGGCCAATGAACATATCTTGGTTTCATTTTTGAGCACTTGTGGCCTGATTTTCTCTTTCTAGATCTGGAACAGAGAAAAGCCTCCCGAGTATGAACTGAAAGTATTCATTCCCTTTGATTAGTGGTAAACCCCTGCTGTCATTTCAGCAAGCGAAGCAGAAGCATGCATTGGGGGATAGCTGCCTTGGGCGGAAGTGATGGACGTGGAGTTCAAAGGCCTGTCCTTCTCTGGAGGATATGGTACCTGTTTTCCACCTGGGGAAGAAAACCCCTCACCATCAACCCTGGTGGAGATTAAACAAGGGAATTCTGACCCCAGGTTTCAAGCCTTCTTGTTTTGTAACAGATTTCTGAAGACATGTTTTAGCTGTAAACAAAAACCCACATGCTAAAAACCAAGAACCACGAAGAGTAAGAAAAAGTAACTTTGGACTCTTAGGCTTTTAGGCCTTTGTGTATGTGTGTCTGTGTGTATCTGTGTCTGTGCTCTTGAACTTAGGGCCTGGATGCTGTCCTTGACCTTTTTGCTCAAGGCTAGCACTCTACTACTTGAGCCACAAGTCCATTTTTGTGGGAGTTTTTGTTTGGGGGGGGGTGTTGTTTGTCTGTCTTTTGTTTGTTTGGTTTTTTTTTTTCTGTCGTTTTTAGTGGAGATAAAATCTCACAGACTTTTCTGCCCAGGCTGGCTTCAAACCATGATCCTCAGATCTCAGACTCCTGAGCAGCTAGGATTATAGACGTGAGCCATTGGTGCCCTGCTAAGTAAGGTCATTATTTTTAAAAGCAAGGGCTACTCCTCTAGGTGGTCTCTCTGCCGCTGGTTGCCTGGCCCAGAATGAGCTATAGGAAGCTCTGCGGGTGACACAGATAGACTTAGAATGTCCTGGAACACAGAGGGGCATCTGCAGTAGGGGGTGGAGTGAGTAAGGAGGGACCCACCAGAAACAGATACTTGAATTTGGCTGAGGAACTTCACTGGGACTCATCCATCTGGAGCATAATATCTGCTGCCACCCTTCCCTCAGTGCTCTGGAACATTTCAGACACAACCCTTCTACTCTTAGGGACATCGGCATGCCTTCCCCAAGGACAGGCCTTCAACCAGCACCAACTTCAACTACACAGAATGGGTGTGTGTATGCTTACGTGGGCTCCACAATCCCAGTGACACTCCCCCCATATATGCAGAAGGCAGCCCTCCTCAACATGTACACAGCCATCCTGCTAACTGTTGTCCTTTGGGGAGTGGTCTGGAGACCTCATCTTTCTCAAACTTACTGTGCAGTCTAGCCTCTTGTCTCCTCATCCTCCCGCCTCTGCCTCCCCAATTCTGGGATGGCATGTATGTATTACCAAACCCAATTACACCTATTGTCTTTCGACACAACGAATGCTTTACAGAAAGAATGAGAGAATTGCCGAAGCCATACAGAAACCTAAAGTCACCATGAGCCAGGATAAATGATTTAAGTCACCTCTGGAGAGACCAGGCATACAACGAGCTTTATAAAGCATCACTTCAAGTGGTCCCTGTAACAATGCTTTCAAAAGCTGTAGTCTCTTGGAAAGCTATAGATATGATTAGAATGGCATTCTACTTTGGACATGATTCTCCTGATTACCATCATTTGAAAAAAAATGACGTTATTAATGCCATTTGTCTTGATAGACAGTGTTTATATTGTAATTAACTTGCGGAAATAGACTTTTGGATTTGTTTTGAATACATAAAATCTGTTAATAATTAGCCCTTTTGTTTTCCCATGTAGATCTTTCAGGGAAACACTAACCCCACAGATGTTGTGTTTGGAGTTTTCCCCAAACCCCTGATAACGCGATTTGTCCGAATTAAACCCACAACATGGGAAACTGGCATATCTATGAGATTTGAAGTGTATGGCTGCAAGATTACAGGTAAGCTCCAGGCCCAAGATCACCTGGTTCTGATTGGTGCAAACCTTTAAATACAAGAAAAACAACTTAGTATTAATGTGGGTCATTTTTGTTTGGTAATGAAGAGAATATACTTTGGATTTGAACAAATTAAATTCCAGTTCAACCTTACTGCTCATTAGTCTTATTTCTGTAGTTGATATCCTTACATTTCATAGCCTCAGTTATCCAACCAGGAAAATATTCATAGTTCTGTTTATGCTACACAGACTGTGTGTGGTAATGGTGGATGTAAAGCAATAGTATAGTCTGGTGTGGGGTAGGGACTTGAGTGCCATCTTTTGCATTATAAATTCCATGAGGGCACATACTAGGTCTTGCATCTCTGCTATTTTAGGTGTATAACATGCTGACTAGAACTTAGTAGACTGACAATAAACAACTGTTTTATGAGATGTTCTCCAATAGTATTATCTTCTCAATTTTGAAACTTAAAGGAAATCTCCTCAGCTATAGTTTAGGAGTTTAGCCTCTGAAAATTACTTCTTTGCTCATACCAAAGAACTTTCTCTGGGATTTTGTCTTTGCTTTTTTTTGTTGTTGAGTGAATGCATTATCATTGGAAATCACCTTGTAGATGTTCCTAGATTTTCAGTTTGTTTCTTCAAATACCAGCAGAATTTTAAAAGTCCCTGTTAAATGTGGCATAAATAAGTGGATTGCTGCCATGTGAGAGATTTTAAAAAATGGCTGGAAATGAAGGGGAGATCAGCACAGAGTTGGAGGTCAAAAACTGGGCCTGGTGTGGGTCTCACTAGTTTCCTGGCCTTCAATGCTACTGGGACTTGTCCAATGATTTTTTTGTACTATTAGCCTGTGTTCTGATGAAATAGAAGTCATGTTCAAATTCCTTTCTGCTTAAGTAAATATATTGCAAAACTTCATTTAAAAATTATTACAATCAGAAAGCCAATAAAAATGTAATCTCTATATTAACTTAAAAAATATAGACACAGAATTAATAGACTGGTCCACTCAACTAAAAGTGAATAACTTAACCAAGTGCTAGTGACTCTTATATTTGTAATCCTAAACTACTCAGGAGGCTGAGATCTGATTCAAAGCTAGAAGGCCAGGCCCAAAAGTCCAAGATTCTCTTATCTCCAATTAAACATCAAAAAGCCAGAAGTGAGGGTGGTTCAAGTGGTAAAGCATCAGTCTTGACAAAAAGCACAATGAGAGCATGAGACCCCAAGTTTAAGATCCACGAGCAGCACCAAGAAAAATGTACATATGAATGTACATATTTAGGGTGCTTAATTACCCATTACATTTTTATTGTTTATTCTCTTAGTAGGATTACTTTTAGAGAAAGAAAACAGAGACTTATTAAAGGGGGAAAAATCACCTTGGGAATTTACCATGAAATAAGTCATTTGGAGACAAAATAATGAAGTATACAGTGGGATCCATTTTCTAAAGTAAAAACCACATGTGATTTTATGCCAGTTTTGTTGTTGTTGTTGTTGTTATTGATCACGGGGAACTCTGGGACTGACCGCTGTCCCTCAGCACTTCAGCTCAAGGCTAGCGCTCTACCACTTAAGCCACAGCACCACTTCCTGTACCAGTTTCCTTTATTTCCATCGTAGAAGGTGACTTATTTAATTGTCTTAGAATCTAAGACAGTAATGTACTATGTGAAGTTATTTCTTTTTTCCTTCCTCCCCCCCTTCTGATTTATCCCATGGCACCCTGTGTCTTACATATACGTTTATCTAATTTGGGGAAGGGAAAGGGAATAACAAAGGAGACAAAGGACAAAGGGTAAACCAATGAAACAGCAATACACACAAGACACTATGTTGAAAATGAACTTTACAACTTGGGAGGGAGGTGAGTCGTGGGGGAGGAAAAGTGGGAGACAATGAAGAAGGGTAACCATGTTCAAAAAGACATGTACTCATTACCTTACTTATGTAACTGTAACCCCTCTGTACATCACCTCTACAATTAAATAAATAAAATAAAAGGAATCTAAGACAGAAAGTCCAATGTCTTGAAAGCAGGAATTGGGTAAAGAAGGATCTGAAAAAGAAAGGGGATGGAAAAGCTAGATACAACCTTGGCTCTGTTTTAATCAGTAGTTAAATACCAAAGAGTTCTAGGTCATTTCAGAGCATTGTTTGAGAGGATACTCATAAATTCCTAGCAACAAGGCCACATGAGTCTGGGTGGAAATTTCTAGCCCACTTTTATCTTATCTCATCATGGCACTATATCAAAATGAAGAAAAAAGATTATTTTATTTTAAAAGTATTAGTCTGAACTCTGAATTTCTAGTCTTTTAAATATTTATATCACATTCCCTCAGTTAAGTGAAATACTTTTGAACCCAAATTTATTTTTAGTCTTCACAAGGATTTCTTCAAGAAGTAATTCTGAAACTGTGAGCAAAGAAAGAAAATAATGCATTTGACTTTTTTTAGAGACTTTTTCAAATTTGAGTTGGTAGTGGGGCTTGAACTCAGGGCCTTGAACTCATGCTTGGCTTTTATGCTCAAAGCTGATGTTATACCACTTGAACAATATCACTTGAACCTCTACTTCCCTCACTGGATTTTTTAAAATGTAGTTAAATATTATTATTTAAACATAGATGTCTAAGTTAGGATATTCTTATATTTTCTAGCATTGCCTATTTTATCATTGTTTTAAGTAAATTGTGTGTGTGTTTGTGTGTGTGTGTGTGTGTGTGTGTGTGTACGCACGCGCACACATGTGCGCGCATGCGCGCATGCTGGTACTGGGGCTTGAATTCAGGTCCTCTGTGCTGTCCCTGAGTGTTTTGCTCAAGGCTTACCCTCTACTACTTGAGCCATGACTCCACTTTTGGGTTTTTGCTGGTTAATTGGAGAAAATAATCTCATGGACTTCCCTGCCCTTGCTGGTTTCACAATCCTCTCATCTCAGCCTCATGAGTAGTAAGGATTACAGATGGGGGCCACCAGCACCTGGTTTAGGTTGATAATTTTATGTTTAGACTCCTGGTGTTAATGTCTTAATCATGATATATCTCTACTGAGATAACTCTAATCTCCAAGTCATTGATTTGGGCAGTTTTTAGGGAGGCTGATGTGTTACAATAATAAACACATGGACACAAGTTGCATTGTCATATCCATACTTAGGACTGTCTTGAATACAAGATGTTGTATTTCTCTGATGTCTGTAAGATTAACCATATGAAGATGTAATAAGCTTAAATGAAAAATACATATAAAATATTGGCTTGAAGTAAGGGCTCCCTAGTTGGTACCTAGTAAATAAAGCAGGCACTCAAAACTTGAACTTAGGAAATTTTCTAACAAGTATGTAATAAGACAATCATATCATATTTTCTTCTTGGATACTAACAACAAAGTATTTTCTTCTTTTTGAGAGCCCTAGTGTAGCCAGAGTGCAGATTAATGAAAGAATAGGAATCTCATATCACTGTTTGACTGGCAGTTCCATGAGAGCAGAGGCCTCTTTAAAAACAAATTGCAATTATAAACTGCTGTGAGAACATGTCACATGACTTCCACAGTTTCCAAGGTTGAACCTAATTGTGTTTGTGTGTGTGTCTGTGTGTCTGTGTCTGTCTGTGTGTCTGTGTCTGTGTCTGTATCTGTACTGGTCCTGGCGCTTGTACTCAGGGCCTGGGTGCTGTCCCTGAATTTTTTTTTCTTTTTTCTTTTTCTCAAGGCTAACACTCTACCACTCGAGCTACAGCTCCACTTCCAGCTTTTTAGGGGATGAATATTTGGAGATAAGTGTCTCACAGGGTTTCCTGCCCTGGCTGGCTTTGAACCCTGAGCCTCAGATCTCAGCCTCCTGAGTAGCTAGAATTACAGATGTGAGCCACTGGCAACTGGCTTAAACCTAAATTTTTATTCAGAAATTACTTTTTAGAAATATAGGAACCCAACTTGGTGTGGTAGCTCAAATCTACAATTCTAGCTTCTTGGGAAGCAGAGATCAGAGACTTGCAGTTCAAGACCAGTCCAGACAGAAAAGTATATGAGATTCCAACACAACCAATAGCTAAGCCTAGCAACTCATACATGTTATCCCAGTTATAGGATGCGCACCATGTCCAAGTGCAGTGGTGTGTGACTGCCATCCCCAGTAACACAGGGAAGCATTTTAGCCTGAAAGCAAGACTCTACTTCTAATAAATAACACAAAAAAGAGCTAGAGGCATGACTCTAGAGTACATGCTGTGCAAGTGTTAAGTCCCTGAGTTCAATCCCCACTAGCACACGTTATGCCTAAAAAAAGAAAAAAGAATATAGCAATGCTGGAAATCCACAGTATGTAGAGGTGAGTCACTGTAAAGAGCTATGCAGAAAACAAGGGGTGGGAACCAATCTGCTGTATACATGAATGACAAAGGAATGTTTTCATTGTTCTGAAGAAGTGGGCTTCTTTGTTTTGACAAAAGCATAAAATAGTGAACATAAAATTAGAGATTCTGCTTTGTGTGTGAAAATGTACCCTGGACTCCGATCTCTTGGGCTCATTAACCAGAAATATGCAGCTACGGACTCCCATTATAATTCACAAGACTGTCTTAGACACCACAACTCCAGAGCTACTTCCTGAGTCCAACGGAAGATAAAGTTAGACTCATTCACCCACTTCTTCAAACACAAACATGATTCTCTTATCCTTTGAAAACTGATTAACTGGGTATTTGATTTGCTAGTGTATGTCAATTTTCCCATGAAAACTGAGCTCAGAAATCTATATCAGTAGAAACACTACTTCAGTCTGCCAGTGCAGATCCCATTTCTGCCTTCCATCCAGGTTTTAAGCATTCCAAACAATTACCAGTTCAATTTGACGCAGATAAGCAACAAGTAATTTTTAACCTAAGGAGGTTCCATGCAATATACTAAAAAATATTCATTGCTTCCCCGAAATTGTAGTTTAGCTAAGAATCTTGTTTATTATTTTGTTTGTTGGTTGCTTTGCTCAGTCTGGGCCTACTGTAGAAGAACACAGTGAGAAATTAGCATCTCTTCCAAATCTTGTACTAATGTTAAAAAAAGAAAGTCAAAAAAAGAAGAGTCATGTGGTTTTTACTCAAAGACAAATTAATGTGCCTCTTCATTGTTTCTGGATGAGGAAGACCCAGGAGTGGGAGTCTAACTTTGGCCTGTGGGTATGCTGCATGGCAGTTTGGTATCACTAGGTTTGTGGTAATGTAAACTGAGCCTAACCAACTCTGCATTAGAGAATGTCCATTAACCTGGCAAGGGTCTGTTCTCCTTATATTTTTCCAGTTAATTACATTTTTTCTCCAAATAGTAACATCTGGTCCTCATTACCAGCTAAACATTGCCTTTATAAAAACTGGGTTTGAATCAAGCAGGTATGAAAGACCACAGTAACTATAAAAGAAAAAGAAAAAGAAAATGTTACTTCTATTTTTAATACTAGTGTCACAGTTCTTCAGCAATATAGTTTTATGAATCTTTTCTAAATCCCCATTGAGTTTATTCTTGGTTACCAGATTCTTGCTCTAGCTAAGAGCAAATGTACGGCTGAATTATAGGAAAGAGCACTGGAGAAATGACAGCTGCCTTTTATTGAATTAATAAATTTAGTCATTAACAAATATTTGTTAAAGATGACAATCATAAAACAGGACATAAGGAGTCCTAGAAAGTGGAAACATTTGACTTGTTTTCTGTTCTCAAAGAAACTAAAATCCAGGAAGACAAAGAGCAGCAATTTGAAGAACTGAATGATCATCAATGTGTGAAAAATGCAGACAGAAGCCAGGCTCCGGAGGGTCACAACTGTAATCCTAGCTACTCAGGAGGCTGAGATCTGAGGAAGCAGTTCAAAACCAGACTGGGCAGGGAAGTCTATAAGGCTGTGGCACAAATGATAGAACACTAGCCTTGAGCAAATAAAAAGTTCAAAGACAAGGTCCAGGCCTTGAGTTCAAGTCCTAGGACTGGCACCAAAAGAAGAAAATAAGGGAAGGAAAGAGGAAGGAAGAGAGGGGGGAAGGAAGGAATGAAAAAAGAAGGAAGGAAAGAAAGAAAAAGAAAGAAAGAAAGAAAGGAAGGAAGGAAGGAAAAGAAAGAAAGAAAGAAAGAAAGAAAGAAAGAAAGAAAGGAAGGAAGGAAGGAAGGAAGGAAGGAAGGAAGGAAGGAAGGAAGGAAGGAAGGAAGGAAGGGAAGGAAGGAAGGAAGGAAGGAAGAAAGGAAGAAAGAAAGAAAGAAAGAAAGAAAGAAAGAAAGAAAGAAAGAAAGAAAGAGGGAGGGGCTAGGAAGGTGGCTCAGTGGTATTATGCTTGCCTTGTATGCATGAGGCCCTGGGTTCAATTCCTCAGCACCACATAAGCAGAAAAAAAAAAAGCCGGAAGTGGCGGTGTGGCTCAAGTGGTAGAGTGCTAGCCGAGGGACCAAGGGAGGGAGGGAAGGAAGAAAGGAAGGAAGGGAGAGAGAGGGGGAGAGAAAGGAAGGAAAGAAGGGCAGATAGAATACTGTGAAGCATCCCAGACAAGGAAAAATATATCTAGATACAGAATGGAAAAGCTGAATAAATGAAAGCTTTAAAAATGAGTATAGCCAGGAGCCAGTGGTTCACACCTGTAACCCTAGCTACTTAGGAGGCTGAGATCTGAGGGTTGTGGTTCAAATCCAGCCTAGGGAAGAAAGAACCTGAGACCCTTATCTCCAATTGACTACAAAAGGAGGGGGAGGGGGGGGAGAGGGAGGGGGGGAGGGGGAGGGGGAGGAGGGGGAAGGGGAGGAAGGGGAGGGGGAGGAGGAGGAGGAGGGAGGCGGCAGCAGCTGCCAGAAGTGAGGCTATGACTCAAGTGGTAGAGCATCAGTCTTGAGTGAAAAAGCTAGCAAGCTTCTGAGGCCCTGAATCACTAGCACAATACATATACATATATGCGCATGTACACATACATACATACATATAGTCCTCAGCACAAGGATTTAGCATGGAGGGAAGGGCTGATATGATCAGCACACCCCACATGGAGGTCACAATGGAACTTTTGTGTGGGATTCCTATGCAGTAAAAGGTAGGCATGGAGAGGACAACTTCTGGATCAAAGTCAGGGCTCCCTCCCCCACCTCTCATCTCCCATTCTCCTTCTAAACAATTTCAGCAAGTTTCACTGTCGTGTTTCATACACGTGTTTTAAAGTACTTCCACCATATTTACCCTCCTTCACCCTTCATATATCTTCAACCTATTTTAAACTATAAGCTTCTTCTGGGCAGCTGTCTGTCTTTGACCCAAGGATAACCTGGATACAGAGAGTGCCTCAGTGGCTACAAAATGGGTAGAAAGGAGTGTGTTTTTTGCTGAGATGTGATGGGAAAGGAAGACTCTAAAAGAACAAAAGAATGGTTTAAGGGAGAGAAGATGCTGGCTTAAGGTAATCAATCAAGAGACACATCCTTTTCTATGAATGGGTATGAAATGATTATCTCTTCAGTTATATTTTCCCTTTAACCATTGCATCTTCCAGGAGGTAATTTTACCTTCTCTGGTTCATTCTGCCTCCTAGATTACCCATGCTCTGGAATGCTGGGCATGGTGTCTGGACTTATCTCTGACTCCCAGATTACAGCTTCCAACCAAGGGAACCGAAACTGGGTGCCAGAAAACACCCGCCTGGTGACCAGTCGCTCTGGCTGGGAACTGCCGTCAGCCCCGCACCCGTATGTCAATGAGTGGCTGCAAGTGGACCTGGGAGAGGAGAAGATCGTGAGAGGCATCATCATCCAGGGCGGGAAGCACCGGGAGAACAAAGTGTTCATGAGGAAGTTCAAGATTGGCTACAGCAACAATGGCTCAGACTGGAAAATGATCATGGATGACAGCAAGCGCAAGGCTAAGGTGAGGTCCTGGGCCCGGGACCAGACCTGTGGCTTGTCATTTCTCATGCCTTAGAGTGAAGTCAAGGGTTTCCAGCATTTCTCTAAGGAAGTACTGGTTCTGGTTTTGTCAGCAACATCTCTATCACTGGGACTAACAAGTCCTTGGTGTTGATCATGTCTGTGAAGTTAATAGCTTTGCTGGACCCCCTGCTTTCTCTGTGGGAATGGCCCACAGTCCACCCCCTTCTCCAGGATATCCCTGCAGGGAGGTGGACTTTGATCAGAAGACAGCCACCTATAAGAACCCATAGCCACCAACACAACTGGTCTGTCTGTTGTCCCTTCTCTCATCTACCTGGTTTAAGTGTTTTATTTCTTACATTATTTTTGCTGTGAACTCAGGGCCTTGACCTGCTAGGCAAGCACTCTACCACTGAGCTACAGCCCCAGACATTGTTTTTAAATGTTTAGTTGTGCTGGAAAGCCAGGCAAAGGTAGCTCATGTTGTAATTGTAGTATTCAGGAGGCTGGGGTTCCAAGCCAGTCCCAGCAGAAAAATCAGTGAGACTCTTTATCTCCAATTAACCAGCAAAAAGCCAGAAGTGGAAGTGTAGCTCAAATGACAGAATACTAGCCTTGAGCCCAAAGCTAAGGAAAGTGCAAGGCCCTGCTTGCAAGCCCCAGCTTCCCTTCCCTTCCCTCTCCCTCCCTCTCTCTCTGTCACACACACACACACACACACATGCGCACGCTCAAGCATGCACACATACACACAGAGCAATTGTGATGGAATACACTTAGATAAAATTTATCATCTCAACCTTTCTAAGCATTCAGTGAAGAATGATCAAGTGTAATCAGATGGTTGTGCAGTCTCCAGAGCTTTCTCATGCTGTACAACTGAAATCTGTACCCATTCAGCCACAATTACTCATTTCTCCCTTACGACTCCAGAAGTCACCATTCGCTTCACTCTCATCTATATGAACTTCACTCCACTAAAGCCTCATGTTGGATGTAAAGTATTTTTCTATAGAGAAGCAGCATAATGCCCTCAAGACCCATCCATGCTGTTGCAGTGTCAGAATTCCCTTCTTTAGGGAGGCTGAATATTCATTATGTCTAGACCACGTACTCTTTATCCATTCATCCACTAATAAACATTTGGATTGAAGGATCCGCCTCACAGAAAGTCAGCAGTTTAGGTCTATTCACATTGTAGACATGGAATTTGGTGGATGATAATTGTCCCTCAATAAAACCTACCTTTTCACCTCAGCCTTTCAATCCTGCTTTGCTCAGAACTTGCCCCTCTTGTGGAAGTGGCTCATAGTTCAGTAGCAGGAATATTATTCTTCTACCAACCCTGGCAACTATGAGAGTGTGGTTAGGTATGATGATTTAGGCATGGTACTGCAGGCAGGAAACAATCCCAAGTACTGCTGCCAGCTCACACTCCTCCAGATCTACCACTCTGAGGAGACCATCATGGCTCCACAGATTGCAGGTTGGCCCCAGAGTAGCTGGCCATCAGCAGGCCTATGTTAGGAGAAATGTAAGAATTTCTTGCTGTGTTAATTTGTGGCTTCCAAAACATTTTTAGTGTTACATTACCTATGTGCATTGACTTTCTTCTATATATTTCACAAACTTGAATCCTCATCCTTTATGTTCACCTCTATTGGTTGGGTAGAAGGAACTATCTGTCTTCCTAGCTACTCAGAAGGATGAGATATGACAATTGTGATTCAAAGCCTCCCTGGGCAGGAAAGTCCATGAGGCCAAAAAGCCAGAAATGGAAGCGTGGTTTATGTGGTAGAATGCCAGCCTTGAGGGAAAAAGCTAAGGGACAGGACCCAGGCCCTAACTTCAAGCCCCAGTACCAGCACACACACACACAAACAAAAGAAAGTATGAAATAAACCCCAGAGCCTAGAGCTTCATATGTGTGCATGTTTTCTGCAGGGAGCAAGCTACCACACTGTATAAGCTATAGATCTTCAGCTTCCTGCATAGGGTGTTCTGATGTGACATGTTCTTAAATATGAGGGCTCTGAGAAAACAAGCTGCCACTTGTTTTTTGCTTTCTATCTTTAGTACTAGTATTTGAACTCAGGGCCTTGAGGTCAACCCATCCTCTACCACTTAAACCATGCCTCCATCCCAGCTCTTCTTGATAGTTATTTTGGAGATGGAGACTTCCCGATTTGTTTTAATACCCAGGCTGGTTTTGAATTAGGATCCTCTAAATCTTAGCCTCCTGAGTAGTTAGGATTACAGGTGCATGCCACTGGCGCCCAGCTGCCACATGCTTTTCATAGGAAAAATCAAATACTTCCCATACTTGTTATCTAACCCGCATTTGCAGCTGAATCTGAAGCCATTATTCCATCACAGTAAAGTGGGTATAGAATTTCACAAGACCCAAGACACATGTTTTAACTTTAACGAAATCCTCAATTTCAGACTGATTGACTATGTTGGATTTTAGTCCTATGTTGGATTTTTAGTCCCTATGATATTTAAAACCATGCCAGTTTCTAATATATTTATGTAGGGCCTAACCTTGAGTCCTAACACACCTTTCCATTGAAACAAAATCTCTAAGGAAACAGTGGTTTGATGGGTTAAGATCCTCTCTGCCCTTTCCTATCTCCTGCTCCAAGCAGGAACAGGGCCTGACAGGGTCTGGATTAATGGACTTCTCCAGAACAGAGGGGGAGCAAAGTCCTTATCGTCCACAGCATAATCGTAGAACACAAGCAGTTGGTTCCCACACTCTGCTTCTGCAGTTGAAGCTAGCCAGGTCCAAGTGAGTTAGATTGCTAATATCCCCAACTTACCACAGGCAGCTTTGCTAATATATTCACATTGAGTTATTTTTTTGCTTCAGTTAAAATTGAGGGAGGAAATGTGGATGCCATCGATACCCGGCCTTTGTTCCTTCATCTTCAGAGCCTTGCTAATGTGGACAGAGCCATGTTATGGTATTTTCATTATAGTTAACATCATACTGACAACAGCTTAATTGGGCCCAACAATAATATATATTGAATTCTCAATTGCTGGCAGCAACTGCAATTCTATCAACAGTTGCAGGATCCTGATAGTGAATTTACTCTTGAAAAAAGGAAATTAATTATAAGAGGCAGCTGTATGTGAGCATTTTCAGATTCCTTGCAGCTTTTCTGAATTGGAAAAGGCTAATCCGTTAACTTCTAAAACTCAGAAAACCCCTGGTTATATTCTGTCTTAATGAATCTGTCTGTCTCCACCTGCATGCTTCCTCTGTCATGACATCTAGCACTGAATGACCACATCTTTGACTGCTTTAGGGCATTTTGATCCAGCCAGTGGGCCTGTCTAGTAGTAATATGCAGGGCTGGCCAGAGACTCCATCTCATCCATCATTTGTAGTATCCCATGCACAGCAAGTTAAAGACAAATTTATGAAACCAAATGTATTTTCTTAGGCATAAAGATTTCTCACCTATTGAAAGGAGGAAAATAGAATCTGTGCTCACTGGTATATATCTATAGTTCCAGATAGATGTGAAACCAAGGCAATCGATCACTTGAGCTTAAAGAGTTCAAGTCCAGCCTGGGCAACCTAAGGAGACTCCCCTCTCAAAACTTTACAACTTTGGTGGGGGGAGGGAGAAACGGGTGCGGGGAGGGGATGAGTCTGGGAAGGGATGGAAAGGGGAAACAAAGAGGAGGCAACAATTCTTGATAAGAAATGTACTCGTTATCTTGCCCATGTAATTGTAACTCCTCTGTACGGTATTCTCACAATAAAAAAAAATTTAAAAACATCAAAATAAATAGGAGAGTAGATTACATGATTTCTAAAAGTAGAGTCATTTTTAGTAGCATAGTTAAGGCTTCGATAAAATCCACCTAGGTTTGAATTTTGGCTCTGCCTCTTGTCATCTCAATGGCCATGAACAAATTTCTTGACTGCTCTGTGCCTCAGTTACTTTATGTATAAAAGAAAGATAATAATAGAATTTACCACATAAAGTTATTTTGAGGACTAAATGAATTCACATATTTCAAATACTTAGAACAACCCATTACACCAATAAAAGGAAAGTCCCAATGATAAAGGATTATTAATTGTTTTAATCTTCTCCTTCATTCATGCTCAGTGGAATTAAGTGATGCTAGGAAAACAGGCCAGGCAGAGAACTAGCCATTTCTTGAAAAAAGAAAATAGATTCTTTTTTTTTCTTTTTTTTATTGTGAAAATAGTGTACAGAGGGGTTCAATTACATGGGCAAAATAATGAGTAAAGAAAATAGATTCTTATAAAAAGGTTTTTATTTTGCTGTTAGTGTATCAAGAGAAATAAAATAATTCAGCAGACATACTAGTAGTGAGTAGCCAAGCTCCTGAATAAGGTCGTATAGTACCTTCAAGTTGGTGATGTATTCAAAAGAGGTGACAAAGCACACTGTCATTCAACCAAGATTTAGTGTCCTTTGTAGTCAGGACCTTTGCCACTTTCCTGACACCAGAGGTTTGGTTTTGTTTTTTAACTATGAACAACTCCTACTACAGTATTACTTGAATAGGGATTTCAATAAGTAAGAATGGGCCAAGTTCATGACATAGGATTGGTAATCTATTAAATTTACTATCTCTAGCTTGAGGGTAGCTGGGTGGTAGATTGCTTGCCCAGCATGCAAGAGGCTCTGGGGTCATATCCAACTCTATTAAAAAATTATTATCTCTTTCTTTAGAAATTTAATACTATACTTTGACAAAACTGGAGCCCTGGCACTTAAGAGCAAGTAAGCTGGCTATTTATTGAAAATGTGATATCTATTATAAGCTCTGGAAAATGGCACCTCCTTTCCTGAGTTTCTTCCTCTACCTCAAAGAAGTGATAGCGGTGTCACTTCTGCAAAGCTTGCCAACATATCACGTAAAGCACCTTATTAAACCCTCAGCTTCTGCCGCAGACTCAGCATGGACCTCAAGTTTCTTTAGAAAGGACATCTGTCACTGTTGTTTTATTCCTTTCCCAGGTATGAGAGAAACGTCAGCCATTTGCAAAATGCTGGAATTGGGCTCATTTCTCTGCCCTATCAAGGGTCCTGAAGGCAATGCAGGAGTTCGGGAAATACCACATCCAAATATTTCCCTTTGGCCTTCAAATTTAGGGCACCTGAGATACAGTAAATTCAAGGTGGCTCTTTCCCTGAACTTCTCTCATCAGCCCAAAAGCAAAGGCAGTGATCTCAAATCTCTTCCAGGAATCTTCACAGCCAAAGAAGCCTAAGATATTGTCACAGCAAAAGACAGTGGAGGACAGTATCTGGCTATCTCTCCCAGACAAGCTCCATACAGTCCATAGCTTGCTTTTCTCAGGCTCTACTCACCTGTCCTAATGTTCTTTGTTAACCCCTAAGTTGCCATTACTCTTTTCCTTAGGAGAAAGTTATAAGAGCTTCTACATCTGCACATATGCACTTTACTAGCATACAATAGTCCTACATATGTAACGACATACAGTTTTTTCTTCTCTTATCGACTTTCAGTTTGTTTATAGATCAATTATAGAACCCTTAGCATGTAGAGAAAAAAATATCTTGACTCACCTTCACAGGGAAGAAGCACTCACTAAAAGGGAAGTTTGGTTTGTTTGGTTGGTTATTTTTGCCTAAATAACTGAATTGTGTCTGCTTCCCAGAGTTTTGAAGGAAACATCAACTATGACACACCTGAGCTCCGAACATTCCCTCCTCTTTCCACACGATTCATCAGGATCTACCCCGAGAGAGCCACTCATGGTGGACTGGGGCTAAGAATGGAGCTGCTGGGCTGTGAAGTGGAAGGTAATTACAATTTCTAGGTCTCTGCCTTTTATATTTCCAGTTTCATGCACTTATGCCTCTGATGGTGCTGTTGCAAATTACTACCTTTTCCCATGGGTGAGCCTGCATGCCTGAACCCGCAAGTTAGCAAGGCTTGACATTGTGGCACACAGCACCCAGCAGCACCTGTACAACTCTTACTATTGACATAACTCTCTTCAGATCAGTGGGGTTGTCTCTCTTGATATTTTTTGCAATAACTTAGTGAGGTGAAGTTGATATAATGCAAAATTTACCATTCCATATATTCTATTATACCCTATCCTCTTCTATTCTTCTATATGTATTCTATTATACCCTATCCTATTCTGTTCTCCTATATGGAATCTTTCTATGTTGGTCAGACCTGCCTTGAGTTTGCCATTCTCTTCTCTCAGCCTCCTTAGTTCTGGGAGTTGAGCCATGCCTTATAGTGCCTGGCTTCAAAATTTGACATTTTAAGAAGCCTGTTGTGGTAGTGCACACCTATAACCCCAGTTATTCAAGAGCTAGAATAGTAAGAGAAATTCAAAGTTGGCCCTAGCAAAAGCTCAAGACCGCATCTACAAACAAAAAGACTGGCATATCTGAAGTGGCAGAGCTAAGTGCAAAGCCCCGAGTTCAATCCTCAGTAAGACTCCCCCCACCAAAAAAAAAAAATCATCACTTTTAAAGTGAGCAAATCAGTTGTATTTAGTACATTGACATTTTAATTGTACTACAACCACTTCTTTCATTTCCACTACTGCAAAGTAAAACCCTCTATTGAATACATAGTCTTTCTTTCACATCACTTTCCCAAGCCCCAGGCAGCCACCAATTCCTTTGACATTTTAGGTATTGTTTAGAGTTCTTGTCAGATCCAAGTTTCCATCTGTGATGCTGATTCTCAGTGCAGACTAGCAGGAAGCAGCATTTGACAGCATGTAAGACATCAAGATATCTTAGGTGGATGTCTTAGGCTGCTTCAAATAAACAAAGCCTTGCATAGGTTTGTATGTTTGCAATCATGGTGCAGGCTGTTTAAGGATGTTACCACAAAGCTTCAGGTTATCATGGGAAGGTCATATCAAGGACAAACTCAGTGCATATGCTGACCTCAAGCCTGCACCCTTTTTCAACATAGAATGAGTGAGATGAATGTTTTGACTTGGTTATTGTGCCCTTTACTGCTTTATGTATTAGAATTTCCATCTGCCTTAGATTTGAGCATAAACCCTACACCAGCTTTTCTGTCCCCATCAACATCTTTTTCCAGGTTAGCTGGAAGAATGGCTATTGTTGGTGCCCAGATGTTAATCAACTGAGCATATGGTCATAGTTGTTTCTAAGAATGCTTCTTAATATTACCTTCCTGGGATTAGAAAATTATTTGTGTTTGGAATTACACAAACATAATGACATTCCTAAGCACATTAAATTCCATAAAACTTTTTCTTATGCACACAGACTTTTCAGCTATCAATCACCACACTAATGAATAATTCATAGCTGTCATCTAAACTCAGGTCATTATCTCCCATTCTCTTCTGGGTAGTAGTCTCCATATCTGTAATCCTGTCCCAGCCCTCTGCATGATCTAGTCTCTGTTAATACAGACTACAAGTTCCCATGTGACAGAGTTTGGCAAAGATGCCAAGAAATGACAATCAGATTGTTAAGGTGAATGGAGAAGTGTGGGGTTCTGGAAGAGGGCGGAGCTCCAAGGCAGGTCTTTCACTAGGATCCTGGAAAGCAACCTTGCTTTAGGTGCATAAATGGCTGACAGCACTACCTGTGCAACTTCCCACTGTTACCTCTGTAGTGAGTTAGGTTGACATTGCTGGTGAAAGATTCTGCCTACAGATCCTTCCAACACTCACAAGAGAGAAGTTGCCCTGAGCCACATAAGCAACCATTATCTATGGCAATTAAAACCAAAGCTTTTTAATAAACCTCCCCTCAAACGGATGAACCAGTCTATTTGCTATCACTTGTCCCTTGTTCTGTGAGAAGAATGCAGGATAAGGACGAACTCCAATCTAGCCTCCCATGACAGTCCATCCTGCTTTGAACTAGCTTATATTTTAGAAACAGAGACATATAGAAAATAAAGTCTTTTCAAATAGGCAAGTTGTGGCGCAAAAACTATTCACTTCTTACTTTTTTGTAATTTAATTTAAGCACTCCTTAGACCACTTTCCAGGTGGAATTTCTTTATAAACACCATTAGAAAGGCAGAAAAGTCAGCAAAATGAGTAGACAGTTTCAAATTCTTAAATGTTGCACTTTAACTAGAACAAGGACAGCTTAGGGAAGACAACTTTGTAGACTTCCAGAAAGGGTTCTACTGATCCAATGGTAGCAACAAATAGAGCCCAAGATCTGTGTATATGAGTGGGGATGTGTGTGTGTGTATGTGTGTGTGTGTGTGTGTGTGTGTGTGTGTGTGTGTTACAAAGTCTGTATTGCATGCCTCAGTGGCGTGTGGGTTACCTATATGTTATGACTTCCGGTCAACTGTTTTTCTACATTTTTCATAACTCTACTCAGTACCTAAGCACAATAGCTCACAGTGTCATGTCCTCACTGAAAAAGTAGCAGCTGCTGGCATATCTTTCCTGGCCAGGGCTTAAAGAAAAGGGGCTCCCTCTATCTTCTAGCATCTTGTATGGTTCCCAGACATCAAGGGAACTGTACCTTATCTCAAGTTCTGTAAAATGAAATGCAATGCTCAGTACTGTAAAATATTAAACAGATTGCAAAAATGAGTAACAGGCTGAAAGAAAATAGACTGAACTAATGTAAAAAACTTCAAAAGCAGTCTTTGATTAATGTTGGCAAGCTTTCAATGACAAATTCAAAGATATAGAATACCTGTCAACAGTGGAATGCAATCCCAAAGGAGTCCAGGTAACCTGACCTCTGCTTTCCAAGACCACTCCTCTCACGCACCTGCTCTGGAGAGAGGGCTCACAGGTGGAGGGGCTGCTTAGGAAGAAGTAAAATAACTTAAAAAAAAAACAATATGGTACTAAGTGTGAATGCTCATGGCTTCCTCTTGGGAAAACATTAAAATAGAAACTTTGCAAATTCAGTCAATTATAAGAAGACAAGAGAATTCATGACAAGTGAATTCTCTAGCACCCTGAAAATGAAATGGAAAAACCTCTATCACCAAAGTTCTCAACTCCAGGGACACGCATAAATAACTAGGAAGAATTCAAGAGCTTTTCAGAAAAAGGATGTTTGTGTAGATAACAAAGTAGAAAATGTGGAGACAGCCAAATCTACTGAGCAGATATAGATCCAATACCCAAACAATGTCGTCTCTGATGCATTCTGAAAAACTTCCAGTGTATTTAGCGTCCTGAAAGAGCTCAATCCTAAACGTTCTTACTGAGATTAGAGTTTTCTGCAAAAGTGTTAATAGACCCAACAGCCAAAGCCTCGAAAACACATTCTAGGGGAATGACATGGCAATTCTGGATTTTGTTTCAGCACCCACAGCTGGACCAACCACTCCCAATGGGAACCCAGTGGATGAATGTGATGATGACCAGGCCAACTGCCACAGCGGAACAGGTGATGACTTCCAGCTCACAGGTGCAAAAACCATCTTCATCTCATTGCTGTGCCATTTCAGTTCATGTTGTAGTAGAGATCTGTGTGTGTTCTCATGACTCATACTAGTGGGCACCTGGGTAGTGGTAGGGCTGCCCTGGGAATAGAGGCAGCCTCACCATGGCTCTGCATCTTCATTTCTTCATGCAATCCACGTAAACAATTTGTCTGAGTCATTTCCATTACCAAAGGCTAAGGTTATCTCATAATTGAGAAAGAATTTCTCCAAGAAGGGTTGTACTGAGCTACTCCTTATCTCTAAACACTCTGTCTCACACTCAGACACTGCCTGCATTCACAATTATAAACCTTAGAATCAGTTCCTCACTCCTGCCTTTAAGTATGTACCATCCATTCACAACCATAAACTGTAGCTCCTCCCACCATTGAATGATGTACACTGTGACCCATTCACAGACACACACTGGAAGATCAGGATCTCCCTCCTGACTTCAGATATGCACATTCACATTAGTACATTACCCATTCACAACCATGCACTGTAGTGTAGTATGTTCACTTTCCTTTCTAATGAGAACAAATCTTTTTTAGTGGAGCCCTTATCCTACTAATTAATTAAACTAGGTTTGTATTAAAATAGGCAGATTTTTAGGTTGGGGGTTTTATAAATTATTTTACACTAAAATTTACAAAGAATTAGTTATTTCCCATCACCACTGACTAGCACATATCTATCAGACATGATGGGTGGCAAATGCCTCATAATCTGGCATTCCTCCATAATTGTTCAAAACCACAAGAAGCTAGAATGCTCCCTCTTTTCCCCTTGGATTGGTAGAGTAAATATTTGCAAGTGGGAAAATGGGATTATATCCTTTGGAAATTGGTCAAGGCACTAGGATTTTTCACCCTGTTGTTTCAAAAGATGTCATAGGAACGTCCTTAACTACCTGAATTAAAAATCAAGCCAGATGCCAGTGGCTCTTACCTATAATCCTAGCTCATCAGAAGGCTGAGATCTGATGATCATGGTTTGAAACCAGCCTCGGCAGGAAAATCTGTGAGACTCTTATCTCCAACTTAAAAAAAAAAATGCTACTCAGAAAAAGGCTGGAGTGGTGCTGTGGCTCAAGTGGTAGGGTGGTGGCCTTAAGCACAGAGAAGCTGAGGGACAGAGCCCAGGCCCTAAGTTCAATCTGAAAGAAAGGAAGAAAGAAAGAAAGGAAGGAAGAAAGAAAGAGAGAGAGAGAGAGAGAAGGAAGGAAGGAAGGAAGGAAGGAAGGAAGGAAGGAAGGAAGGAAGGAAGGAAGGAAGGAAGGAAGGAAGGAAGGAAAGAAGGAAATCAAGCTTCAGCTGGGAATTGGTGGCTCATACTGGTACTTAGGGTACTTAGGTACTCAGGAGGCTAAACTCTGAGGATCACAGTTGAATGCCAGCCTGGGCAGAAGTCTATCAGAAACTTACCTTCAACTGACCAGCAAAACACCAGAAATGGAGATGTGACTCAAATGGAAGAGTGCCGGCCTTGAGTAAAATATCTAAGGGACAGTGCCTAGGCTCTGAGTTGAAGCCCCAGTTCCAGGACAAATTTTTTTAAAAAAAATAGAAATATATCCCACCTCTAATAGTTCTCCCTCTGAATTTCAAGGATAATTGCTTACATATATATAACCAGTAAACATTACATTACTATGGGCTTTTAAATGAAAATCTCATATATTATAAACACAAAGAGTTAATTCTTGTGAAGACATTTTCTATGGAAGATGTGAATTTCAGGTTGAAAATCTTACAGCTGATATAAAAACCAGAGAACCATTCCCTGAACCATAGAACTTTCCTAAGGTTGCCTGTAAACATTCCCCCAACCCCCCAAATCTCAGGAGTTTGTGGACCCCGTCACACATCCATAGTGAAATTCCTCATAAAAAGGACTCACAGTGTCACAGTGTACCCTTTTCAATTGCCCCCTTGTGGAAGGGTTCTTTTCTTTATAAACCCTAAAGTGCTCAATTAATATTGATTAGAAACAAAGCCTCAGATTTAGTCCTCATATTAGAACAAACACCCTTCTCATTTTTGCATTAGTTCATGACTGAACCAATTGAAAGTGAAGTCTTTGAATGAAATAGGGCCAGTCTGTTAGCCTGGAGCAGATTGTGAACAGCAAGTCTCAAACTCCAGAAAATGGGCCATTTATAATAGAAACACTGACAGCCCTTGAAGAGAACAAGGTTTTGCTTCACCTACAATGTTTGAAATTGTTTCTTGAGTAGCAAGAAAAAGTACATTCTATTTTTTTACATATTAATATGACAAAAAGAAAGTCATTTTCTCAAACCAGCTCATATCTCAACAGTTCTATAAATGTATACACATAAGACCTGTGGTCATGTCCATCCTACTACTGCCACCCCTATCAAGAAGAAATTTTTAAAAACATGCTTATGCTTCTAATTCATTTATTATATTAAGAATTTTCATTTTCCTGGGGTTTTTGTTTTTGTGCTGATGCTGGCTTGAGTTCAAGACCTGGGTGCTATTTCTTAGCTTTTTTCACTCAAGGCCAGCATTCTACTACTTGAGTCACACCTCTACTTCCAGCTTTTTGCTGGCTAATTGAAGGTAAGAGTCTTGTGGACATTCCTGCCCAGGGTGGCTTTGAACTGTAATCCTTAGATCTCAGCCTCCTGAGTAGGTAGGATTACAGGCCTGAGCCACAGATGCCTGGCTTCCTTCCTTTTTTTTTTTTAAACTAAAACATATTTGGCTTTATGAAGCTATGATTTATCTTTTCTGGAAAAGATTCTGCTCATGAGAAATTATTTGAAAGGAGACAAACATTTGCCTAACTCTAGTACCTCATTACATCTAAAACCTGCCCACCTATGTTCACATATCAGTCTGCAGGTTTTGTTAACCATCATGGGTTTTAAAATCAGGTTGTAAACTTTGGGGTATTTGGTGCAATAAAACCAAATGGAGTGCTTCCTCAACCCCTGGTAGCTGGGAATGTGGAAACTGGAACCGATGCCCTTGAGTCTTTAACCCAGGTGCTATATATTTGGTTTCTTCTCCTGGAAGAACTTATATGTAATACAGGCAAGACATCCCACATAATACTCACTACATACAAAGGCTGCATTTCCAGTGAGTGGCTGTACCCTTGCTGGAAATGGGGGAGGGTCTGCCCTCCATGTTTGCTGGCCAAGGTGAAAATTCACCCCAAGTTACTCATTTGCAAATGCCTTTGAAGTCATTAGATAATGCAGTTGGCTTTCAAAGGCACCAGGAGGCCAAATTTCAACATTGGACTTCTGTGTACCCAACAATGGAATTTGTCTTCCAACCTATAACAGAACTGATAATGCATATCGGATAGAAAAAATGAGATTTCACCTTGAATCTTTCTCCTCTGAGGCCACTGGGAACAGAACGCTAATGTATTCTGGCCTCCTTCCAATTCTGCCATTATAGATTCACCTTCTTAACCCGAGAAGCATGCAATTCCTTCTCTGCAGTGCCTGCCTTCCTGAGGCCACCTGCACGTGTGACCCTCATGCAGTGTATTTATTGGGGTAGCACAGTGGGGTGCTGCCATCCATCAGCTTAGAGATCTCAAGACCTTTCCAAGAGCACAAATACACATACAAGGGATTTTCAGTCTGTGCAAACTGCAAGATAGGCCTGCTCTAGAAATAAAGATCATCACAAATCTTCATTGAATGATATTGTGAAGGTACATGATAAAACTACCTTCAATACATCCCATAATAAACCTAGACCCATGCCATGCCCCTACCGTGAATTGGGACATAATCTTCAGGATAAAAGTCTATTATTACCCTCAATCACGGATACACTTCTGGAGAAAGAGTTTTCTCAAGTACCTAAGTAACAAACAGCAAACCAATCTTTTCCAAATGTAAGAGATTATAGATTTATCTGAAAAGCTTTGAAAAATGCAACTCTCAAAGCCTTTGCCTGGAGATTCTGGAGTTAGATCAGGAAGGATAGGTGGAGAGGAAGCTGCCATTTCAATCCTCAATCAAGGTAGCTGAAAAAGTTTGAGAGCATTGTTTTAAAACAGTAGAATAGGGCTGTCCTGTAGATCAAAGAATGAAAATACAGGAAAAGAGAAGAGTTCCGTCTCTGTAACAGGCAGTTTATCCCCTGAGCACAAATTCCAAAGAAGTCCCAAATGAGTACTGAAAGCTCAGTGTTTGGGCATTATTTGTTCAATCTTCCAATTCCTTGGGTCTCTGAGGAAAAGTTTATCACCTTCCTCTTTCACACTACCTCCCGTTGCTTCATTAACCCACATACTGGGTGGAATATTTGTCCTTGGGAAAAACAAACAACCTCAGCACAGAATAAAGAAAGAGAGAGGAGAAGAAAAGAAAAGGAGAAACCACCATCATCCACACTAAACCTTTGGGCTCCATGGTAGGAATAAATTTTCCCAAAGGCACACATCAGAAACCTTGGAAACTAAAGCTTAGTGAACTAGGGCAAGTTTAATACCCAAGTCACTGCGGCCGTTCAGAGGCCCTTGCCTTTCACTGTTGCAATCCTGTGCCTTGCCCATCCTGAGAATCAGAGACTGCCACAGGAGTTCAGTTCCAAACCTCTATGCCTTCCTGATAGTTTATAAAGAAATAGGAGCTGGGCGCCAGTGGCACATGGCTGTAATAGCTACTCAGAAGGCTGAGCTCTGAGGATCCAGGTTCAAAGTCAGCCTCAGCAAGAAAGTCTATGAGGTCACTAAAAGGCCAGAAAGTGGAGCTGTCTCAACTGGGAGAGCAATAGCCTTGAGTGAAAAAGCTAAGAGACAGCATCCTGGTTCTCAGGTCCAGCCCAGGTATACACACACACACACACACACACACACACACACACACACACACACGCACGCACGCACACACGCACACACACAGAATGTATTGGATAGTTGAAAAATGCCAAGAAAATAGATTTTACATATTCTCCACCACAAAAAAATTAAATGTGTAGTGAGGTAATTTATATATTAATTAGCCTGAATTAGCTATTCATCTATCTATATATATATATGGAAAGCCTATATTATACACTATAAATATAGTCAATGGTTATTTGTTCATTTAAAAATAAAAATTTTAAGAAACATACGGGCCAAGTATGGTGTATGTACACACAAGCCTAGGAAGCAGAGATGAGGAGGATAGAGTTCAAAGCCAGCCTACACAAGAAGCTCACAAGACCCACATCTCAGCAAATAAGCTGGCATGCTGTTACAGCCCTGTAAGGTGTAAGTAGCAGATTTAACAAAGCTGACTCTGGGCAAACACACAGGACTCTAACTAAAGTTGGAAGAAGGAGGAGGAGGAGAAGGGGGAGGGGGAGGGGGAGGGGGAGGAGGAGGAGGAGGAGGAGGAGGAGGAGGAGGAGGAGGCCTAACAATCTCCAGGTCTTCAGTTCAAACAAAAAACACTAAAGATTAAATATATATTAAGTTTAAAAAGTAATATTATTTGAATTTCATATTATGAGCAGAATTCAGTGACATGGCTATCATAGCTAGAAATAGGAAAGGTTTTCTTTGGTAAATGTACATAGGCATAAGCATGCAGTGCTGCAGCAAACTCTTCCACTTTGTCACCTGCTGTTACTGGTCTTGTTTTTCAGGTGGCACCACGGTGTTGAGCACAGAGAAGCCCACGATGCTAGACAGCACAATTCAATCAGGTATCAAATAACATATAAAGTATCAGATTTCTCTCAGGTACCAGTGGCTCACAGATGTGACATTAGCTACTTAGAAGGCTAAGATCTGAGAATCCTGGTTTGATGTTTGATGAGAGCCCAGGCTGGAAAGTTCATAAAACTCTTCTTTCCAGTTAAAAGCTGGAAGAGGAGATGGGGCTCAAATGATAGTGCATAAGCCTTGGGCAAAAAAGCTGAGACAGTTCCCAGGCCCCGAGCGCAAGCCCCAATACTGACACAAATAATAATTCAAAAAAAAATCATAGACTTTTATCTGCCCTTCTCCACATCTCCAATATAGTACATGGCTGTGCTTTTTATTTTCCCGCAAGTTCTAGGAGAAATGTCGTGCAGCATCTGGTCTCCATGCGTGAGCCATAAATATGGCTTTCCTTTCATCTACATGTCACTGCCGCAGAGTGAGAGTTCCTTCTCCATCAGTAATTGCCAAATGGTGACAATCCCAGATCTCCACTGAGGGAACTGAGCGACATACTTTGTTTAAGCGTAGCACATCTAGGACGTGGACTGTGTTTGCAAACTCTAGGAGAAGGAAATCTCACCAGCAGCAGCCTCACTATTTATTTTCATCGCATTTCTGCAAAACTGAGACATGCAAAGTTTGTCTGTTCTGCCTGCCGCGAAGTTGGCAGACTTACAACAGCATTTCCAGTGGGCATGCCACAAAACGGGGTTCAGGAAATGGTGCTTTATATTATGTGTGGGGAAAGCAGTACTCAGGAGAACGGGTCCCCTCTTCCCTTTTCGTGATAGAAAGCCTCTGGACTTGTGACCAAAGCTCCCTGCCCCACCCCCCTCCTCAGTCTTTTTTGTTTTTGTTAGTATTCTGTGACATCTCTTCCTCACTCAAAGGGAAAGCTCTTTGTAAGCAATCAGAGGTTTTAAATACTTTAGAGTTAATCATTAGAGTAAGGTGAGCAGGTCAGTTTTCCAGCCTCTTCCATTTCCTTTATTGAAACTCACTCAGCCTTGGCTTCTGCAGTCATTTATTAATGGGGCGTGTGGTGTGTATCAATGTTTCCTCAACACTGTGACACTCCAGTTAGGCCGAAAGTAAAAAAGACTGCACTAATTAGTATGCTTCTTTAAAGGATGCGGTCACCATTGCCCTGATTAAATTGCAAAACAAACTTCTCTTTCACTTGGACTTAACCCCAAGTTTTCCCCTGCTGTGTGTCCTGGTTGCCAAGTTTTCAGCTTGTCACATGACTCAAAGACCAAAAGATAGGCACAAGAATGATCCCCTCAGTTCCAGATAGACACATCTTTTCAAGTTATGAAATGTGGCCTGTTGGGGATTGTGTGGAGACCTTGTTTAGCTGAAACAACCCCAGGGCAGAGACCCTATCCTTGGCTGCCTGCCCTTCAAGAAGTTTTCAGTTCTTGGAATGGTTTTCTGGAGAAAGAATAGGAAGAAGAGAGATGGAAGTTCCCATAATGTTACACACTTCTTAGCTGTTGTTTTATGTCTTTCTCTTGCTAGACAGGTCATTAAACCCACTCCAAATTTCTTTTGTTTCTTTGCATCTCTCTTCTCCCTGCCTATAAAAACAGTTAAGAAAATGAGAATGATAACAGCTGTAGAGAATAGAGAAAGTGACCTCAGATGGCAAGCCTGGGCATTGCTCCTGCTGTTGAAGGTCCAGGTTTTCAGAGCAGGAATGGATTGGTAATACATTTGCCATGTGCCTGACCTCCAGGCCATTCATGTGATGTCCCCACAGAAAAGGGACAGTCCTCTCACAGGGTTTACTGTGGCTGAGAGCAGGTTCACAAGGCAAGAACCAGTAAGTTTCACTGCTGTCACTGTCTAGACCAGACAATTCAACCTCACAGCTTACTCATAGGGATGGTCCCTTTACAGATGGACTTGGCTTCCTTTTTGTCTATTGTCTGAATTCTTAATATGATCTCCAAGTCTTCATCAGAAAGGGGAAGATCTGTTCCTTGTCACCTTCTGGCTAAGACAATGCACAGGCTTTAGAAAGACCTACTCAATGCTTAGAGCCAGGTGTCCAGTCTTCAGCTGGCTAACCCTGGGGCGTTCATCCAGTGGTCAGGTTCAAAGAAGAGTGGCCCTGGTTTGTTCTACAAGCTTCAGATTCTTCCCAAGCACCAGCAAACAGAGCACTAAACTCTTCCGTTAGAGCCATTATAGACTCGAGCAGTCTTGGGTTTCATTGTGAGGATTCTTACCAATACAATAAACTCAGCAGGCATATAATAGTCATATACCGTCTGGGTTGTAATCAGATGCATAAAAATCTATTAATGCTCTTCCAGCAAGCAATGAAAACATTCGTGATTAATACAGCTGTCCCTGAGGAGGGCTTTCTCCACTGAGGGTCTTCGTATCCTACATCAGCTCAAGTTGTGCTCATGGTCTGTAGTTGTGGACACCCCAGCACCTCCTTTTTGGCCTGAAAGCCAGGCTGTGAGTAAGCAGCAAGTACATTCAATGGAAGCTTTAAATGTCCAATTTAAAAAGCAAATCCTTGTGCATGGAAGGTGCTGATTCAACTCCACACAGGATGGGTTCAACCAGCACAGCTGGGGCTTGCTCAGAGTGGCTATAAATTTGCTTTAAGTTCAGAAGATCATTTCCTGGTATTTTTAAGAGCCAAAAAGGGCCTTAGCCAGATTATTCTCATTGATTTTAATGAAAATTATGTGCAGCTACAGAGCCTAAGTCATATTTTGAAAACTTAAAGGTCAAAAATACTGAATATGTCTTTCTTGCACCCATTTTTTTTCTTTCTCTTGTCCTTTCTCTCCCATTTCTCCCATTTCTTCTGTCCTTTTCCCTTTCTACACATTTGGATGGGTATTTTGTGTGTTTAATTTCTAACCATATTTGTCAACATTGAGCTTTGTTCTCTACAACCTTCCCCACCCATGTGTTGATTTAATTTTTTAATTAAAAAGATGACAATAGGTTATGTAAGCCAGACAAGAAGATATAAGAGAGATATAATACAAAAAGTCAGAGCAGGTCCACTAGTTAAAATCACAGGACTGGCAAGATGGATTGCCATTCACTTCAGGAAGAGGAATGCCACAATCACCTTTTCAGGCATAGCCATACCATGTCTTGATCATCACAATGAAGAGCAAGTTCATATGCTGTTGTCTGTACTGAAAATCTGTTGTATTAACAAGGCAGATGGACCATATGTTAAGGGCTCACATCTGTAATCCTAGCTTCTCAGGAGGCTGAGATCTGAGGATCGTGATTCACAGCCAACCCAAGCAGGAAAGTGTATGAGATCCTTACCTCCAATAAACTACCAAAAAGCTGGAAGTGGAGCTCTGGATCAAGTTGGTAGAGTGGCTAGCCTAGACCAGGCCCTGAGTTCAAGCCCCATGAGCAGTGCATGCGCATGCGGGAGCGCGCGCGCGCGCGCACACACACACACACACACACACACACACACACACAGAACACATTTCAGAAGAAACAAAAACCAAATACACACTAACATTTTTCTAACATGAGATTGTGAAATTGTGCTTTTTAGAGTATAGACATTGGCATCTGAGCTTGCTCAGCTCCTGGTCACTGCTCAGTTAACTGTGCTTTGTCTATATACTTCAGTCTTGCTGAAGTACCCGTGTGGAAAATTTTGGAGAATTTCTCCTGCTTGCAAAAGGTCCGTTTCATGGCTATGAGAGTCGACACATGCTGACCCTGTAGCTGTGGAATCTGGCCCTTTTGGACTAACTAGACATGTGCATACTAAATACAACTCAGAGCTTACTTCACTTAAACTGGCTCTGTCTACCCTTTGGGAAGTCTATTTTCTTTTACTGGGAGAATCTCTCCCTCAGTTTTGATTATTCATATGTCAAGAATTTGTCATCAGGGATTAAATGTTCCTTGGGAACAAAAAAAAGTGAAGTAAATCATCTTTATCTGAGCAATAAATCTTGCCATTAAAAGTCCTCTCACCAAAAAATAAATAAAAATAAAGTACTCCCACCCCCCAAAAAAAATAAAATAAAATCCTCCCACCATTGTTAAGGTAAGGATTAACCGTCAATACCAGGCACCCATGCAGGAGCAAGAGATTATGTATTAAGCTCTTGGTCAAGTTAAAGAAAAGCTCAAAATGAGATGTGATCTCAGCCTGACCCAATGGCCACACATAACACCAGACTTCCTTTATTGTGTGGAGAAGATTCTTTTGAGATTTGAGTTCAACCGGCCAGATGCCCTTATGTCTCTCTGTTTCAATGCTGCCATCTTGTGGACTGCCCAGGCTCAGTCACTCATGGTGGATCCAAGGCCCCTTTATTAAAAAAAAAGATGCAGTAGCTTCTGTGGACTTCACAGTGGGGAGGAGGGGGGGAGAGGGGGGAGTTGAGGGAGTGGACACAAACAGGACAATTTCATCTTTAGAATTACTTTCATTGCTCATGTTCTTTTACCAAAACAAATTTCAAATCCCACTCACTTCATTTTCCTCAATTGAAAAATTCAAGCTCCGTTTAAAAATGTAGTAAAGTAAAAAATTAGGCTTTGAGTTTTAACAGGTATCATGGTCTGAGATCACCATTTGGAACCAACTAGAAAACCATTCCTATCAATCCATTGATTTTTCTCTTCAACTTCCAAGGAAAGATTTGAAAAATAAATAAAACGTGAAATGCTTGGCTATTTAAATGTGCTTTGGCTTTATATAACCTTGCATTGAGGTTTTAAATGAAATGAACAATTTATATGCAAATTTAGAAATTCAGTCAAAAAAGCAGAAACTTATCCTGAAATTAATTGACCTGATGGAAAGCACAGAAGAAAAAAAAAGAATAATCTCAAGAAAATGCTTTAGGGATTTCTGCCCTGATAGCATCAGCTAATGGGTAAGAATACTGAGAGCTTTTTTGCCAAGTCACATCCCTAGACTTGAGAGGTTCGTGAGTCAATCCCTAATAGTTCCTTTCATTGATAAATATCAATTTGTGTGATGCATCCTCAGGAACAGAGTATCTTTCATATTAAACATTGAGGAAATAGGGGAAATTATGCAGAGGTAATATACGTGCCTTGGAAAGTAGCCCTCCTGAAATTTTTATTTAAACTCAATATGACAAGTAGTCAAACTTTTTTAAAAGCTGGATAATAATAATAATAAATGTGATTTTTGCAAACATTTTGACATCGCTGTATATCAGTTGGTTTCTCGGTAATCCTGGATTTTGAGGCTTTCCCAGAATTTTCCAACAGACACGCAATCACACAAATCATGTTAGCCATGAATGTATTAAAGGCCTTTTTGACCTGAAATGATTAAATTTGTCTCTGCTTGTCTGTTTTTTTTTTTTCCTTCCCGCCCACTAAAGAGTTTCCAACATATGGTTTTAACTGTGAGTTTGGCTGGGGTTCTCACAAGACGTTCTGTCACTGGGAACACGACAATCATGTGCAGCTCAAGTGGAGTGTGCTCACCAGCAAAACAGGACCCATTCAGGATCATACAGGTAATGGAGTGGGCACTGTGGACTACTGATGTGACTCACATTTGTTAAATAAGAAGTTACTGGGATGGGTTTCAAGTGCCTGTGAATTTAGGAATGATAGAAAACACTACCGCATATATGGGAGTTAGATATAAAGTATAAACATATATAAAAATACAAGGTCATATGCACACAAATTGACTAAAGTATATGCACAAGAGGAGTCCAACAGTGTAACTCCTAGGAACAAGGAACTTATCAAAATGAATAGTAGGAAGCTATACCATGTGTTGTCATGATATTGTGTGTGTGTGTGTGTGTGTGTGAGAGAGAGAGAGAGAGAGAGAGACAGACAGACAGACAGACAGACAGACAGACAGAGAGAAAATAGAAACAAGCAACCTGCAGGGATGGGTTTAGGAGAGATGGGGAGAATGATGGAAGGTATGGCATTGATAACTATACATTGTGCTCATAGCTGACATTTAGAATTGAAACTCCTTTATACAACTACTTAAAGATAATAATAAAAATATAGAAAAATAGAAATTACTATAAGCATTTCTGAAAGACCAAGGTCTCCATCGCTAGTGGGAAAAACCTGGGGCAAGGAATTTGAAAATTGATTGAATTTTGCCAAATGTTGGCCTCCTTGAAAAACTGGACAATGTAGTATTTATTTCACACTTTTTCTTAAGGGAAAATTTAAATAAATTCAATAGTAAAAAAGTAGTATAGTGTGCATATAGCAACTTCAATTATAGGCATCTTATTTTATCTCTATTTATTCTTTACTTTAAATGAATATGTGTCCTGTTATATTATGTCATTTATTTTATAACTAAAGAAACAACAAGTAGGAGTAATTAATGCTTGCTTTCTCTACCCTGAAAGTAAAAGTAAGACAAAGTAAATAAAATGCTCATTTATTCAAGGAAGATTGCTAAATCTAACCCATTGCTTGGGGGTGGTAGAAACCATACCACACCGAGTTTGAGAAGCTATTTCAAAAACAAGACACAAAACTAAAGAGTTGGATGAGTAGCTCAAGTGGTAGAGCTCTTGCCTGGCATGCCTATCATCCCGAGTTTAATTCCCTAGTACTAAAATGAATGAATGAATTAACCACCGAATAAATAAATAGGAAAAGGAAAAAGAAAGAAAAGAAAAACAAACCTTACCACACTTCAGTACAAAAGTCATCCCACCTTCTGTTTTAGTTTCCTCCTAAGCTTAATTAGTCAGGGGAGAAGAGAGTCGGGGGCCAGGAGCAGCTGCTCTAGGGACCTCTTTATCCACCCCGTCATCCTGTTTCTTTCCTAGTCATTTTATTACCCACCTTGCCCTGCCCTGCCAAACACACATGAGTACTTGCAATCATATGTGTGCACCCAAACCCCAACTCATGTGTTTTTACTGTCCTGTACTCCGTAGTAAAGGACTGCTTACCCAAGCAGTGGCTTCACAAAAGGTATTCCATGGGGCATTTGGGGATGCTAAGAAAGCTAATTAAACCCTCTCCATCCTGGTTCTTTGGATGGCTTGGTCTGTGGGCTGATGGCTGGGCAGAATGTACTTTGTGCCTTTCCCATTTTGTCTTTCGCATTTTTTTTCCTGGTGAATGTAACCATTAAATAGGTTGAATAGACCTCCTTCCACCAGGGTTACCTCCTTGCCTAATGAGAATGACAAGGAAATTGGACAAAATTGGACTCCTTCAATTCGGAGACATTTCCATTGAATCTTAAGACAAGCAGTTTTAGAAAACTTAAAATACTTTGACTGTAAATGGCACAGTACATATAAATGGCATCAAATTAACTAAATGCAATTAGCTGAAATGAAGGCTGTAATGGTGGAAAAATTGATGCAAAGTGTGGCAAAATGGCTCAGTAGGATCTGACATTCAAAGGAGGTTAAAAGCTATGTTAGCCAGAGACAAAAGCTAAAAGGCTCACAGAAGTAAAGTGCTAATTGAGAAAATGAAGACAGAGTTCCTGACCCAGTACTGTGATAAAACCCCCAAAAGGAAAAATATCAGCACTTTATGTGTTAGCGTATTAGAAAAGGAAGACTTGTCTTAGTTTAACAGCTGAGACGTGCTATCCCTTCAGAAGGACTTGAGTCCTTTGTTCTCTCTCCAGCCACCCAGATCTATTTGCCGGATATGCCCTGACTAGAAAGCCTCCCCTAGCATGGCAGATGCAATCATCTGACAGAAATGGGTGAGCCTGACATCTGAAAGGCAGGAACTTGTTAACAGGGAAACCATCTAGATGAAAAGAACGTCCCCCCTCCCCTGCACTCAGCTCACAGGCATGCAGACGGGCAATATATAAAGAATATGCTAGTTTTTAAATAACAGTAGCTGGACATTAGGCATGGTGGTGTACAGCTGTAATCCTAGCACTCATAAGACTGAAGTAGAAGGATCACTAGTTTGAGTGCAGCCTGAGCTACATAGCAAGACTCTGTCACAAGCATAATAACAGTGATGTTGATGATCAGGATGTTGCAAATCAGATGGTGAATTTTTAAAAAATGATTAGTGTTTAGATTAAATGTCCAGTTTTGAATCCCATCTGCTTTTCTGTATTTGACCTCTAAGAATGAAAATATACTTGTTTATAGAAGATTTCTGTTATCTAGCCCTTTTCCCTAATTTACTGAACAGATGTTATTTGAGCTCCTCTTCTACAAGGCAGATGCTACTCTGGGCATTGGAAATGCAGGTGCCATTGGCCTTCTATATCTATGGGTTCCATATCCATAGAGTCAACTAAACTCACATTCAATATTCAAAAAGAAAAATCACATCTATACTGAAAGTGCACAGAGTTTACACTATTCCCTAAACAACATAGTATAATGACTATTTGCATTGGCCTCAAAACCACCGTGTTACAGTGAATCTAAAGATGGTTTAAAATGAAGTGGAGGATGTGTGAAGTACAGATGCTTTCAGGTCCCTCGGAATCTGCAAGAGCCATGCGGGTCCCAAATCTACCAGTGTTCTAGCCTCAAATAAAATTGTGTAGCACCTGCTTAGAGCCCACCTCAACCTCTAGAATAATTTAAGTCATCTCCTACTATTATTTAGGGAATAATGACAAGGAAAGCCTGTATGTGTTTGGTCCATATGCAATTTTTCTTTTGAAATATTTTTGGTCTAAGAGCAATTGAATCCATGATTCTGGAACTCATAGATGCAAAGGGCTGATTTGTACTGCACCATTTTTCAGAAAGGACTTTGTACCATGGGCTTCTGAGAAGGCACCCTCCCCTTGAAGGGCTCATCTGCTGGTTGTGGGTGTGAAACCACCATCGTGCAGTTGAGGAAAGGTGTCTAGTGGCAAAGCTGGGCAATGATGGTGAGAGATAGCCTGGGAGAGGCAGAGGAACAGCTTCTGTCTTTGAGGCTTGACGTTTGTTTGTTGTTGTTTGGTATTGGTGCTAGAGGGCTTGGACTCATGGTCTTATGCTCTTGCTTAGCTTTTTAAAATCAAGGCTGGAATCCCACTTTTGGGCATTTACCCAAATGATCACACACAAGACCATACTAAAGCTACCAGCACAACTATGTTTATTGCAGCATTATTTACCATAGCTAAGATATGGAACCAACCCAGATGCCCCTCAGTAGATGAATGGATCAAGAAAATGTGGTATATATACACAATGGAATTCTATGCCTCCATCAGAAAGAATGACATTGCCCCATTTGTTAGGAAATGGAAAGACTTGGAAAAAAATCTATTAAGTGAAGTAAGCCAGGCCCAAAGAAACATAGATCCCATGGTTTCCCTTATTTGAAATAACTAGTATATGTCTGAGACAAGCAGAAAAGGTCAGACAAGATGATGTTAAGCGAAATGAACCCCAAGGACACAAGTGTTTTTTTTTCTTTCTTGCTATTGTTTCTAATATATTTATAAGGTACCATGTGATTTTTTTGTTGCCTTGTATGTCCCTCCCCAATGGTATAACCCTGTTTTCACTGCATTTGATGTTGGTATAATTTGGGTAGCGGAAGGGATAAAACAAATTATTTAAATAGGGATACAGGTTGACCCATTGCAACAATGAGATGTACAAGAAAAGCAAATTCTACAATTTAGGTGGGGGAAGGGGGCTGGCGCGGGGGGAGTGTAGTTGTGAAGGTGAGAGGGAAGGGATGGTAGGGGAAAAACAAAGGAGGAGACAACAATGCTTGATAAGAAATGTACTCATTACCTTGCTCATGTAATTGTAACCCCTCTGTACAGTATTTTCACAATATAAAAAACTTATTTAAAAAATAAATAAAAATAAAATCAAGGCTGGCATTCAACCACTTAAGCTACACTTCCACTTCTGGTTTTTTAGTGGTTAATTGAAGAATCTCACAAATTTGGCTGCCTTGTCTGGCTGTGAACTGAGATCCTCATATCACAGCCTCATGAGTAGCTAAGATGACAGAGATGAGTAACTGGTACTAACTGGTACCCAAAGGAAGGCAGAGGTTTTATGTAAAGCAGCTAGTTCTCTTTTCATCTTGGTGATCTTAGTCATCTCTGTTCATCTGTTCATCAATGCAGTGGCATTTTACACAGACAGGTGATGGGCTTGGGAAGTTGGAGGGACAATAAGAATCTATGTGTGCCTGAGTCTATAGACACAGGCAATGTTCCACAGGGCCAAAGAGTATCAAATATTGATGGAGCAGCACTTGTCCATCATTCTTTATGATTCTACCAATTGTTTGTTTTCATTTTTGTTTTGCTTTTTTTGGTTGGAGGGGGTTTGTTGTATTTTGTTGGTGGTGGTTTGTTTTTTAGCCCATACTGGGGCTTGAACTCAGGACCTTGCATTCTTGCTTGCTTTTTTACTTGATTGGCACTCTCTATCACTTAGCCACATCTCTACTTCCAGCTTTTGACTGGTTAATTGGAGAGTAGAATCTCACAGATTTATCTACCCTAGCTAGCTTCCAATCTCAGTCCTCAGATCACTACCTCCTGAGTAGCTACAGGTGTGAGACACCAGGATCCAGCAATCATTGGTTTTAATATAGCATCCTGGTGGGATCTTAAAAGGCAGTGCAGCAAGGAAAGAAAGCTGACCACTAACACGCCTACCTGCACCTAAACACTGATGGCGCTGAAAATCAAATAGGAGGATATGCCCACATATGCACAGTGTAAAAGTCCCTGGCAGGTACTAGACCTCTGGGACAGCCAACAAAACATCCTGCTATCCACTGAGGCCTGAGTATCACACTCACGCTTACATCAGGTAGGGCATTAGGGTCCATGATTTCTATTTGCAGAGCAAACAGTGAACCACCATTGTGTGTTTAGACCAGGTGGTGGCAGGAGGAAACATTCCCATTGGGAGTAATTAAAAGCAAAGCCAACAGTCAGTCTTACTGATTCAGCAAGTAGCACTGTTGCCAAAGTGGCATGTTCTAATGAACCTCAAAACCAGCCTTTCCCCCACCTTCAGCCAGAAGGATACTGGATACAAATAGGGCTCACTGTGGACAATCTAACTCTGAGTATATTTAAGGAAATGATAGGGCAGTCATATAAACTAAATGAAAATAAACAGAATTTGGAAGAGAAGATGGTTAGGTTATTTGGAAAATGTACAGTACTATCAGGAAGTCCTTGTAAATCAAGCACCATCCGTCAACAGAAGTTCTGCTTCCCACATAATAAATACAAAGAGAAGTCTACATCAGTGCATTGTATGTCTGCATTTAACATGGGTACTACAGAAGCAGCTAAAACTTGGGTCAAAGATGTGATCTGTCAGTGTAGACCCCCAATAACTGTCCACTCTGCTGTTTTCTCTACCTGTTCAAGTCCTTGGTGTTCAGTCCAGGAAATAGTTTTGATGGATGGAGGTCAACAGGAAGAAGACAAGGAAGCTATATATTCGACTTCTCTCCCTAACAATTTTTTTTTGCCATAGCAGGAGATGGAAACTTCATCTATTCTCAAGCTGATGAAAATCAGAAAGGAAAAGTGGCCCGCCTGGTGAGCCCAGTGGTTTATTCCCAGAACTCCGCCCACTGCATGACCTTCTGGTATCACATGTCTGGTTCTCATGTGGGCACACTGAGGGTCAAACTGCGCTACCAGAAACCCGAGGAGTATGATCAGCTGGTGTGGATGGCCATTGGTCACCAGGGAGATCACTGGAAGGAAGGGCGTGTTTTGCTCCACAAATCTCTGAAATTGTACCAGGTATGGCCTTTCCCTAGAGGCAACAGCCTCTAAAAATACTAAGGCAATGTCTGCAGGCTTACACAAGTGACATACAAGAACCATTGAAACATTTTATCAGGTGTTTCTAAAACCTGAGCTTCATCTTTTTGGCATACTTCACAGCCTCCTGGCTTCTAGATATAGAACCAGTTTATTAGGGCAGAGGGCAAGTACTTCATTATAATCTGTTTCTGAGCTATGACAACCATCATTCAGTTATTTGCTGACCCTACTACCCTGTTTTAAAATTGATCATATAAAAACAAAAAAAAAGTGAGTGCTAGCCACTATTGGCTCACACATGTGATCCTCAGTACTCAGGGGGCTAACATATGAGGATCTGGTTTGAAGCCAGCCTGGGCAGAAAGCTTTGTGAGACTCTTATCTCCAATTAACCACCAAAGTCCCAGAAGGGGGGCTGTGGCTCAAGTGGTAGAGCACCAGCCTTGAGCAAAAAATCCAAGTGATTGTATAAGGCTCTGAGTCCAAACCCTAGTACTAGCACAAGAAAAAAAAAAGATGGCACAAGTTTTATGTTTATGTCATCACCAAGCAGCTGGCATGAATTGATGAGTGAAGATTGTTGTTAAAGAAAATTGCATGTATTTAATTTGTGTAACTTGGCTCCATAAGCCTTAGCAAGCACTTTTGAAAACACTTATTTGGGATGAGTATTTAAATACTGTGAATGTGATCTTGTTTTGTTAGGTGATTTTTGAGGGAGAAATCGGAAAAGGGAACCTTGGTGGCATTGCCGTGGATGACATTAGCATTAATAACCACATTTCACAAGAGGACTGCGCAAGTAAGTATGATTTTGGTGTAAAAAGCAAGAATGGTCTTACCCTGAGCCAGATTGTTTAATGTGACAGCCTTTCTCTTACACATGTGGATCAAAATTCAAGTATGGACTCTATGCATATCATATGAAATTCATATGCTGGAGAGATAGGGCATAAAATCAGGTCAGTTTGCCTTAAGCTTTTCCATTGCCTAATGTGGTCTGATTCATGTCTCCAAACTTCATAAATAGTGTGGAATCCAAAGACAAGAAGAAAGACTCCGTTTACAAAGCTATATCTGGCATACCAAAACATTTTGATGAAAAGTAGAGAGCTTAGACATCTGGATCATTCCACATATCTGAGCGTATAAACAAAACAGCAGGCCTTTGAAAATTTTGATCGCAGTGAATTTAATTAACATTACATTGTTAATGAATCATAGAAACCAGCATTCTTTGCTTTATTGCAGATAAGTAGATGTTTCAGGCTCTAAAGCTAACTAGAATGACTTAAAGGATCAATGTGATTCATAAACTCTGGCTAGTATTTTATGGTATCCCTTATGGTAAGACATAGGGATAGAAGTGTGACATGGAAAACCAATTCATATTCCCTAGTTCTTGATATATAATTACAGATAGCATCACTAATGGCAATGTAATAGCACAGAGATTAGTCTTAAGCTCCATTTGCTACACTTAAAGTTTTGTTATATATCATTATGTAATAGGATGTTAATTATAACAAAATGGAATAAGCCTATTGAACAAATTTAAGACAAAGCAGCTTGTTGATTATAATGGGTTTTTGGTCATTTCAGCAACTTACAAAGCTTTTATTATACAATATATTGAATATATGTAATCCTTAAAGTAGCAATAATTTGACACTATCCATTGTAGGAATTGGAAAAAATAGAGACTAGTGAATAAAGGTCTGCTTTTTCATTCTATGTAAGAAAATCTACTTTAATATTACACTACTTAGCAAATCTTCACAAAAATGGTACAGTTTAATATTTCAATAGCAGCTCTTTCACAAATTTCTCATATGCAAATCTATACCGTGATTAAAATGTATTTCATATAATTGCACAGTGTATGTAAATTATTGCTTTGCTATTCCAAGATGAGAGGAATGATGGTGAGTCTTAGGGATAGAAGAGCAAGCCCCACAAACCAAAACAAAGAAATAAAGCTCAGTTTAGAGCAATAGGCTTTAACTGATCACATACTGCTTGCAAAGCAGTGTGCCAGGTGTAAATGGAGAATTAGACTTGATGAGGCTTTTTCTTTTCATGTGCTTCATCTTTTGAGCTGCAGATACTATCAAGTCTTGTACTCAGAAAGACACAACTAAAGCTCACGTATTAATAAAAAAGTGTTTAAGATAAAGGTCTGGAGATATAGCTCAATGATGCAATGTTTGTTTTGCACCACTCTGTGTAAGTATGTATAAGGCCCCAAGTTCCAACACCAACACTTTTTTAAAAGTCTAAGATAAGTATACAATTATTAAACAAATATACATTTTGCGCCTATAGCTATGGATTCTATAAGAATATCAACTATTTATTAGTCATTTGTTCCCATAGCAAATACTTATTAAAGCATCTGTTACATGCTACACATTATTTAAATGCTAGGATACAACAGAGAACAAACTGCTCTCCTCAGTGCCACCAGAGACTGTACTTTTTACTTTTCCCATAGAACTTTATTTGCTTTATTTATTGATTCATCCATTTACTACTACCACTACTACTACTACTACTGCTGCTGCTGCTGCTGCTATTATTTCTAACAGTGCTAGAGCTTGAACTTGGGGTCTTGTACTTGCTTGAATTGCTTGGCTAGCTGGCACTCTACCACTTGAGCCATGTCTCCAGCCCAACTTTTTATTGGTTTATTGGAAATAGAATTTCTGGAGTTTTCTGCCTGGGATGGATTCAAACCAAAGTCCACATGATCTCAGCATCCTGACTTGCTAGGATTACAGGCTTGACACACCAGCACCCAACTCATTCATTCATTTTTTGATTACATAAATAGTCTCTTACTACAGAGCTACCTGGAAAGCTGATTCAGCACATCTCATCCAAATTGTGGCGTGATAGCCACAGTTCCAACTCCACTTCTGTTCCCTCTGTTCATCAGACTCCCCCATGTTCCAGATGCCAAAATGCTGTCTCTTTATCCTTCAGTCTGCTAACAGCCACTGGGATTTTCATGTGACTCTCGTCACCAATTTCAGTCATTTCACTTGGACTGTGTTACTATTGATTTGAACTGTACTAAAAAATATAAAGGGAGTCTAGGAGCAGCTCTGTGTGTGTGTGTGTGTGTGTGTGTGTGTGTGTGTGTGTGTGTGTGTGTGTGTGTGTGTGGTCTGTGAATACCATATTTTGTTGACAGCTCAAATATCTTTTTTTTTTCAATTTTCCTTGACTTGGTAGAACCAGCAGACCTGGATAAAAAGAACTCAGAAATTAAAATTGATGAAACAGGTAACTATGCCTTGATTGCCTTTCTTTTACAGCTTTCATTATGTTTATGAAGAAACTTCTGGAATTCTAATATACTTGTATGTCAAAGCAGTTCAGAAAAAACAAACATCTGTGTCCAAAGCCTGAGTATGAGGGCCTTTGTCGGTGTCACTGGGACCTTTCCTAAGCAACAGAGAGATAGGGCACATGTGTGCTAAGCCGCCTGTCATAAGCAGTTGAGTAGGTAGAAGTGTGCTCGCCCTGGTCTCCTCTGCCTGAGCTTTATGACTAATGGATAACCAAGTGAAACTCATATTCTACAACTGAAAACTAATGAAGACTATCTTCACTTCAAATTATTTTAAACTAACTGAAATTCTTGCATCTGGTTGATAGGCAAGTGGGATCTAGAAGATAGCAGAGGCCTCTTTCTGTGCTTATCTCTTCAACTCGATCCATCTTTTCTACTGGAGCTCTGGTTTAATGATGATATTAGTATTGAGTAGCTACATTACAAGTACTTCACCACATTGTGTCACTTAACACTCTCAGGATGCCCCCATTTTACAGATGCTGACAAAAGATATAAATGATGAAGGTAATTAGGTGGTTAGCTCTGGAACCTGTGCTTTCATTGAACTCTGTTGTGTGATGAAATGCAAAACATTTGATTAGACCTAGGCATTGCCTGGTGTTATTTTATTCCCAGAAATATCTTCACCTCCCTGGCCAGCACTGTAGATTGTTAACATTTGCTCCAGCCTCGCTCATGTCTGCTGTGAGCAGTGCTGTACCCAAATTGTCACTGCTCATCCCCATGGATTGCCATTAAAAATATAGTCCTATGTAGTCAGGCACAACTCAGAGATAAGTAAATACAGTATGGTGCTATTGGAAATATCAGCCCCTTACCACATCTACTCAGATGTGAGCTTTATTAGAAGTTGTTTCAAAATATTATTTCATTAAGAGAGAATAGTAATATGTCCCCAAGGCCAGTTCTCCTTTGTTCCGGGACTGGCATCTCCTATTTTTAGTTTTTGTTGATTGGAATCTTTGTTGATCAGAGCTCCATTAAGTAAACACCACACAAGTTGCACATTCACATTTCAGTCCTGGTTCCAGGACCAGGTAATTAGGCTCAGAGCTCCCTTGTTAATAACTTCTTGTGTTCCACTCTAAAGAAAACACGTCCCCAGTGACTTAGCTGCAGAGTAGCGTGACCGCCTCCAGCAAAACTACCATGGGTGTGGATTTGCTGTGATTCCATACCTTCTATTCATCACTGTGCAGACATAGTTCCACGATTTCAACCCAAACCTTTGGCACATGTTAGCAGCGAGTATTCCCATGTTTTAGAACATGTCTCCTTCAGTGAAACTACTGCAGATGGTAGGGAAACTTATTCACCTGCCTGTTTTTCCAGATGGGAAAATGAGCACAGGTGTAAGCCATGCTAGACCACCCCCAAACAGAACATGGACAGCAGCACAGTGCTGAAGGCTTCGGCCTGCCTGGTTTAAGGAACAGACATATGCACGAGGACTGTTTAAATCCATTGTCCATCTTATCCCCCTCCCAACACACACACACACACACACACACACACACACACACACACACACACACACAAGGTTAAGATGGGATTGAGTATTTAGAGTCTAGCAGCAATGGGGATTGCATGCAGTCTGCACAGAAGCAGAACCTCATGTTCACTGCTCATGCAGAATCAGTTATTTCCCTGTGCTGAGCTGTCTGGAGGTATCCCAGAATTCTCCTCTCCCACACCTTCACTCCTCATTTGCTCAGACATTAAAAACCAATAGATAGATAGATAGATAGATAGATAGATAGATAGATAGATAGATAGATAGATAGATAGATAGATAGATAGGTAGATAGGTAGATAGGTAGGTAGCATGTGATTTCCTATTTCCTTTCTTTTGCTGGATCTTTCAGTCTGCTCTTGCCTGGTCCACTGATGGCATTCATGAAACCAATCTTGTTTTGCTTTCTAGGGAGCACCCCAGGATATGAAGGCCACGGGGATGGTGACAAGAACATCTCCAGGAAGCCAGGCAACGTGCTCAAGACCTTGGACCCCATTCTCATCACCATCATAGCTATGAGCGCCCTGGGGGTCCTTCTGGGGGCTGTCTGTGGGGTGGTGCTGTACTGTGCCTGTTGGCACAATGGGATGTCAGAAAGGAACTTGTCTGCCCTGGAGAACTATAACTTTGAACTTGTGGATGGAGTGAAGTTGAAAAAAGACAAACTGAATACACAGAATACCTACTCAGAGGCATGAAGGTGGACAGAGGCGAGAAGACGCGGGGCGTCAGAGGACTGTAGTAGAAGGAAAAGTGGCGCGTGTGGGGAACTGTGTGCTATCTGCTTTCACTGTCCGGGCTGGGAATAAGTGTGTTGATGACGCCGAGCCAGGCTTTTCTCAGGAGCTTCAATGAGTATGGCCGACAGACGTGAACAAGTGAGCTGTGTTAAACAATCGGAATTGTGCACAGTCAGCTTTCTTCTCTTGGTTTCATTTGGATAATCAGATGCTGGTGTTGAGACCAAGTGTAATTGACTTACTGATTCATTTCAATTCCTCCTTCCCCTTCTCTCTCTCCTCTTCCTGTGATGGATTCTGTTCAGAAACTGCAAAATCCAAGATGCTGGCACCAAGTGTATTCAGTGGGGCCCCTCTGATGGACGTGCTACCTGTAGCCCAGTGCCCAGAACATATTAGCGTCACTGCATTCCAGTGGACTTCTGAAGTTGTTCCTGTGTGTAATTTACCCACGTCGTGCATAGGCAAAGAGGGATTAGGATGCTTTATTTTAAAAAGTACTGTAGGCTCAGTACTGATCTAGTGTGTCAGCTCTGTTTACGAAGCAATACAGTCAACTTTTCTTGATGTTTTCCAGTGTTGTACTAAAATCTCGTGCTTGTGACCTCCACACCCCACACCGAGCCATCCCTAGACCCCACTGGCACCTGAGTGCACTGCTGACAACCACAACAAAAAGTCCTTGGCACTGGCTAGTCTCTGTCCTCTCAAGTGCCTTTTTGTTTGTACTGGTTTGTTGTATTCCATTCCCGATCCACTCTGTTTCTCGCTAGGGAAAGCCCTCCTCACAAATCAAACCTGGTGGCCCACTGACTACAAAGAAAGTATATTTTAGTGTGAGACGTCAGCCCCTCCCACCCGGGAAAGGCAAGGGCTCTGAAGATTTGGCAATGTGGCTTAATTGTTCTGCTTTTTTCTATAGTTCGATTTCATGTCTCTTGACCCTTTTGTATAAAGCTGCAATATTCTCTCTTATTGTTCTTTCATATGGAATGTATTTTCAAATGTAAACTCTTGGCTCTTTCCTCTCTCCCTCTCTCTCTCTCTCTCCCTCTCTCTTTCTCTTTCTGTCTCTCTCTCTTTCTCTGTCTTTTTCCCCTCTTAGAATTTAAGCATTTGCCATTGTCCAGAAAAGAACCTTGCAGCTTTAACCTGCTGGCGATGGCAAACCATTTTACTAGACTTTATGTTTTAAAATAATTAAACAAAGGGGGATTCCTAACTTTTCCCTCCAAAGTCTAACTTTGGTTTTCTTGTTAACTGGTTAAAGTGACAGTATCTTTTTTCCTTAAGCCATTTGTCTGTCAGTCATGATCAGAGTGATGTGTGATGTTTGCATTTAATGGGAATAGTGATAAGTTGAGGGAAGAAAATCATGCTAATTAGACTTCAAGTCAGTCCCAAAAGAAGGAAGGAATAAAACCTTCAAAATATATAAATAACATGGAATTTTTACATCTAAATATGCAAAAATGACCCATGAGAACCTTCTTTTTTTAATATTGAGTCAGACAAAGGAAATGGAATGGAGAACAGTTAATTTAAGAAAGAAACTATAAATCCTAATGTCTAGGGGTAAAGTAGTTTAAGATAAGGGGAAAGGGACATATAATAAACAAATGTCTATTAGAAACCCATTCAACAGCAACCTTAAAAAAAAAAAACAGTTGAATGAATGCTTCTAGAAACTTCTAATAGCTGACACAAAAGCCTGCCTTGGGCTGGTAAGACCAAAGCCTCCCTCAGCACAGAGAAATAAATATCATACAGACAGCATATGAAATAACCCAAAGAAGCTCTGGTTGCTTTCAGTGTATTCTTGTGCTATGTTCAATGCAAGGCTTTTTGGATCTTTCTCCATTCCTGAGTTGCTGTAGATCTCACTCAGATACCTTTGTTGGCAGTTATATTTGCATTCTGAATGGCATAGTACAGTCATCTTGGTTTAATTGGATTGAGAATTCCTTTGGTTCCAGGAAAGTATTGATCAGCAAGAAAGAAGCATAGACTTTTTTTTTGTTCCCTGGAGCATTTATTCCCTTGTAATCATACCAGGAGAAAAAGCATTAAGTAAGACTAGATTTTGTTTTTAAGGCAACAGATTTATTAAATGTTGTTCCCGGCCAAGGAAAAATGATACTGCAACTTTAAATTTTAAAGTATCTTGCACTGATAAATATATTTAAGAATTATATGTTTATAAAGTTATTAATTTGTAAAGGCAGTGTTACAAGATGTTCAGTTTATATTGTTTTAGATTGTTTAGTAATTTTTAAAGGTGTAAAATAACATATTTTTTCTTTATTGAAATCTATAAAACTTTCTGTAGTAAAATTTTTTCATTTTACTGGTATATTATTGCTTCATGTTTTGTACCATCATAAAATTTTGTGCAAATTTTTTTTACAGAATTTTTATTTTCTATGACAATATGACACTTGTAAATTGTTGTTTCAAAATGAACAGCGAAGCCTTAACTTTAAATGACATTTGTATTCTCAGACTGAGTAGCATAAAACCCACATAGAACTGAACTGTAACTTAAATTCCAAACTATGACTACTACATTCCAAAGAAACAGTTGAATTAAACATTTTCATAAAATATCCCAAACCTGATGGCTTTTATTACATTAGCTCTGTTCTTATTAAAGAAGTCGGTGTTTTCCCATCATGTAATAACTTTCAAGAGTTCCTTTCTTAAGCTCTATTTTGAAACAAATCTCACAATGAACCGTGAATAAGAAGATATATTTCTAAAAGTGGAAGATGAAACCAAATGGAACATTATGAAGATAATGAGACAATTAGACTGTAGAAGTAGAAATTATTCAGGCTGTGTGTCCAGTATTTTGTTTTCTACTTGGTAGACTTTGTGTTATGATATACACAAGTAACTGTTGGTAAGTTTTATTCTTATAGCAAATATGCCTGTTTAGACATGTATCTATACTCAATAAGATAAAGGGGAAAATTGAGCAGAATATCACAATGGGTTATTTTGTAACTCTTGGGAAAATGAATTTTCTGTGCAGGATCAAAACTAACAACAACAAAAGGCATAGACCTGTAGAGCCAAAGCATATTGAGTAAGGTCTTCAGAAAGATTATTATACTCAAAATTGATCCAGACTAACAAGGTTTTTTTTTTTTTTTCTCTGTCCCCCGTGAGATGTAGAAAAATTACTCACAAGGTATAGGGAATCCATAAGGAGTGAACTGCTCCAGACAGCTCTGCTCAGTGACTGTTTCCTCCACTTCCTGCTATTCCCTAGACACTTTGGGCATCTCCCAGTATATAACTAAGGACAGAATTATTGCTGTATGGATTTATAGATGTCTGCTTAGACAGAAGTCATCAATAAAGGTAAAGCCAGGTAATCGTTCTTCTGAAGTTAAGTTCTACTGACACTCATGGATGTTTCCAGAAAACAGAGACTTGTAAGGAGTCTATCAAAATTAGTCAAGACATACTTTCTGCACAATGCCATGGACTAATATCTCTGATTCACTGTTTGAGAAGACATTAAAAATAAGTACTTTTTACTCCTTTTCTATCAGTTAGCTGGCTAAGTTTTTCTTTACATTTGATAAGGTAAGTTGTTGGATAAGTTGACTTCCTAGTTCAGGAATTAAATACCAGATAACTGATACATTCAGCTTAAAGCATGAACATTATTTACTGCCCTGTCTCCTGTCTTTGGTAATAACTTCATGCCACTAAAACTAAATTGCCCTGTATCTCCATGCAAATCAAAGGCATTCCTGAATGTTTCCATTCCCTAATGTTTCTGTTTCCCGGTGTTAATTATAACAGTGTGACATTAAAAAGCAGTTCTGTCAAGAGTTACCTCCAGATACCTAAATTAGATCCACTAAAGAATCTTAAGCAGATTGCAATTTCGGGGCTGAGAAGTCTGAAGGGAGAAGAAATTGTCAGATGGAGTGAAACAGCACCAATTGCATGTGAGACCAGGATAATGCACTTTTTATTCTCCAGTGTTCCAAAGACAAACTACAAAATAGTATAGATAACAGCACCCTATCATCACACACTAACTTCTCTGTCAACAAGTCCCTGTGAACCAATCAAGTCACAGGGATGAAAGATCATGTCAACTATGGCGAAGCCATTGTGGTCTCTTTGTAACTGCTTCCTATAGTGGTTTCTGAACCCTCAAAGATGAGGGGAGACATCCCTGCCTGCAGAATCCCTCCCAGAAGAATGTTGTGAAAACAGCCAGTATTCATAGCAGTAGTACGTGTGTCTGTGTGTCTCTGTGTGTGTGTCTGTGTGCATGTGTGTTTATGTGGGGGGTGTGCAGATACTAGGAATTAATCTCAGGGCATGTGCTATACTCCAGGCCAGCACTCTAGCACTTGAGCCACAGCCCATTTCCAGCTTTTTGGTAGTTCATTGGAGATTCATGGACTTTCTTGCCCAGGATGGCTTCAAACCACAATCCTCAGATCTCAGCCTTCCAAGTACTTAGGATTATAGGAATGAGTCACTGGCACCTGGCAATAATAAAATTTTATTATTCATTTATTCTGTTTAATAAAGGAGGAATCCAAAGTACAGATAGGTTGTGTGGCAATTCCAGGATATACTTGGCCTCTTTTCTGACTTCATGACTCCTACTTCCTGGTCCAGTGTTGTCCTGCAAGTTGTTCCCGATGGGACCTTGCTATCAATGGGTCCCATGAGGTAGCAGAAGCAGTTTCTTGGGCTGCCAACAGGAAGCTTACCGGCTATGCAGAATCTTGTGTAATACTGTAAACCTGCTGAACAATGTTTCCCTCCCGTGTTCAAGTCCCAGGACACACACACACACACACACACACACACACACACACACACACACACACACACACACACACACACAATCTCCTGATCTCCAAATCACTAAGTAGAAGAAGCCAAACGAGTCTCTTCTGAGAGGAGAAAGAGACTAATGCAGTATTTTGACGGATTAAACATCTCAGAGTGATACAGAAGCATAGCAGTCACCCCTCACTGTTCAGTCAGGCAAGAAGGACAAGTTTGAGGACAGTCAAACCCTTCTTTTTGAAAGAAATGGTCAAGCACTTGACAAGCAGTTTACCACTTTCTAAAGATGTTAAAATCCTAAGTGGTAAACCTAGACTGATCCCTATTTAATCTTTCCTGGACAATTTCTGATCTTGTTCCCTACAGGATCCTTACAGGATATGAGGAAGTATCAGATAGTTGAGACTGTGGTCAATAGTGGCTCCTGAAAGGAGTTTTCTACACAGAGTCTCTTGGGCACATCCCAATACAGTGGTACTTACTAGAATGTTGGAGCTCAACAAATGGATAATATTTATATGCAATAGCCAACTATCACTGCCTTCTTAATAGATTCGAAAAGTACACTTTGATTTGCTGGATTGGATTTGGACACCCTGCCCTGTGCTCTGCTACTGAATGTTTACCTTTGTGCATTTGAACAAGATGATTCCCTAGAATGGAGAGCAGGATCCTGGTTCCTCTTGATGCTCCTTTTGGGGTCTTTGGAGGTTTGAGTGTCCCATCCATCATCTTCCACAAGAGCCAACTCTGTGCCCTTTCTTCATAGCTCCATCTCCATCTTTCAGAAATGAGATGCAGCAGGACTAATGGTCTTAATGAAATCCTGTCAGGAAATCACTCCATTACCTATGAGACCTAGCATTATTCTAATTTGGCCAACCTCTGAAGATTTTCAATGATGATTAAATTAATTTGCCACTTCATAGCGTGATATTTTTAAAGCAGATTTGATAATTATCTTCAGATGTTTTGAAATTCTTTTTGCTATGATCTAAACCCTCCAGCTGAAAGGGAATTTCTTTTTAGTCTTAAACACAATTTTCCTTGGGTGGACTTTAAATTTTATCTAGATTTAAGCCACCCCCAAATCCTATTACAGATGGAGCTTTCCTAAAATGAAAATTCAGAATTCTATCCTTATGGTTTAGCTCTGAAATGTCCCCCTAAATGCCATCTGTCAAAATTTGATAGCCGGGGTAGTGATGTTCAGAGGTAGGGTCAGTAGGAGGTGACTGGATCAAGAAGGTTCTGACTTCATCAATGGACTGATCCATTTAGGGATTTAACACTTCATGGGATATTTGGAGGTGATGGAAAAACTTCTGTGTGTATAATGGTTCTGGGTCTTGAACTCAGGGCCTGGACACTGTCTCTGAGCTTTTTTTTGCCCAAGGCTAGCATTCTACCATTGGAGCCACAGCCCTACTTGCTGCTTTTTGAGTGGTTAATTGGAGAGAAGAGTCTCACAGGCTTTACTGTCCAGGCTGGCTTCAAGCACAATCCTCAGAACTCAGCCTCCTGAGTAGCTACATGGTAGATTACATGGGTGAGCCACCAGCACCCAGCATACTTCACTATATTCTTTAATTATTTGTTTTATTGCCTATCTATGTTAACACATGTATATTTCACAAACAGATACAAGTTTCATGGACATGGTGTCTACCATCCATAGCATATAGGATAAATAATACTTGCCACAGGAGAGATGTGAAGTAAATTTTTGTTGAAATGAGCCATGGTGAGCATTTAGAAATGAGAAACCAGGGCACAAAGTTGGGGCAAGTTCTAACAGGTTTACGAGAATAGTCTTTTTACTGTAGCAAGAACCAAAGAAATTGAAGTGTTGGGGGTGGGGGTGCAGAAATTCTTAAATTCCTTTCATACTCTGTTGTTTTGGAATTTCTCTCTGAAAGAATGACGACTCTGCCAGTACCTATCTTTTCTATAGAAAGAGGCAATCCTCCTGCTTAAATTTCTTTTTAAATTTTCTACTGGCAACATCCTCACCACATAGGATTCATTACATGTGCAATCACCAGACTCCCAGAGGAGCCATCAACAACTGTGGGAAAATGAGCTTTCTGGAAACTTTGCAGAAAATGGCATGTGAGGTTAGCACTATGGGAGGCCAAGAGAGACAAAAAGATTCAAGTGGTTTAATACTCATGAGCTGCTATTTGAAGAACTATTTGATGATTAAATTCAGACAATTCAGAAATGAGTTGAAAATAAGGACGCCAAGCATGAAGAATTTGGTAAAAGCGTGAATGCTAAACTACGTGAGAATCATATTTGCATTACAGAATGTGACTGTGATAAATCTGAATAATGGAAAACTGAGAAGATAACTAATTCTCTCTCTTTCTCTCTCTCTCTCAAACACACACACACACACACACACACACACACACACACACACGTGCATATTAATCAGGCTATGAGAGATTACTAACATTCTCCTCTTCCCAAAACCTCCTCTCTCAAAGGAAAGACTCAGGTCAGAACTTTATTTTATTTATTTATTTACTCACTTTTGTGCCAGTCCTGGGGCTTGAACTCAGTGCTGGGACCTGTCCCTCAGCTCTTCAGCTCAAGGCTAGCGCTCTACCACTTGAGCCACAGCGCCACTTCGGGCTTTTTTCTTTTTGCTTATGTGGTGCTGGGGAATCGAACCCAGGGCCTCATTCATGCAAGACAAGTGCTCTACCACTGAGCCACCTTCCCAGCCCCCCCACCCCCAGCTTCTTTTGTGCAGTCTAGTGTTCTACCA